CTCAAACTTTTTTCCTAGCCCCCCCCCCCAAATATCATATACTCCTTAATGAAGATACTATCATATGACTAGCACTGCTCCCTGGTGGGATGTTTCCAAACTGTGGGCTGTGTGGTTGTGTGGTGTAAAAGAGGAGGTCCTAGGTTCGAGTCCCCGATCTTGTGCCCTTGAGAAAGGCACTTAACACAACTTTCCCCACTTAACTCAAGTGAAAATTAGTATTGTCTGTCCTGTATTTGTTCTATGTGTAGGACACAACACCAGCAACAGCTGCATACAAATGTATATTCCACGTGTATTGTATTGTTACGATTTCAATAAATCAAATCAAATTAAGTCAGTCTGACCTGCTGCCACGGTGTCGTAGTCCAGCTGTGTGGAGCAGGTGATCCAGCGGTAGTTGGTGTCGTCAGAGAAGATGATGAGCTGGTTCTCCTGCCGCTTGTAGCGGATGAAGTGGAACGACTCCTGCACGTCGCTCACGAAGATCCGATGGCCCATGGTGTGGATGGACATTATGAAGTTGGGCACGTGCTGCAGGGGAACACAAAGTAGGATTTTTTCTAAACAGGGGAATAAGGGCTCTGCTCCCTCATGTAACCAGCCAGCACCCTCATATCAATTCTCAGATTGATCCCTAAGTGGCTACTTACACACCATTTAATCTTTCTCAAAATGATCTTTTTCCAGTAAAGATGTAAAAATAATACAATGAATTATAGCATTACAAACTGTGTTACTCTCATAAATCAACCAAAATCACCTCCCACGCACCATGCAACTGAAGCTATTACGATAGGCAGGTTCACAATTTAGTCTTTTTTACATTGTATACCACTACTGTTGATTTAGTTTTGTGCAAATTTGTGAATAAACCATTATATAATACATGTATATTCATATAAACCCAGAACTCAGCCTCTGTACCCGGAAGTAAAAATATCCTGCATAAAACCTACCTTGTTCTCACACTTCCTGAGCAGTTTCTTCTTGCCCAGGTCGTAGATGCGGAGGAGCCGGCCGATGCCCACCAGGATCCGGCCCTGGAACGCACTGATGGCTCCTGGGACATCTTCTACTGGTGTCTGGGGAGAAGCAGCAAAAATTAAGACTGGATTTAGCGGCATAACTCTTGAAGGTTACCTTTGGGAAGACCAAGGTCAAGTACAGAAATTAGCCTAGTGGGGGGGTCCCTACGTCACTGCAGTGGACCTTTTGTGTTTGTCATTTGTTAGCAGGATAACTCAAGTATATGTAAATAGATGTTTATGATTTTTCATGGGCAAATTACTGTTGTAGAGACCGAGGTTAAGTTCGAAAATGAAGATTTCTGGGAAGCAATTTAGGTGATTGCAACCTTCGAGTTCACAGGTATCCAGGATATTGAACTGAGGAGGAGTTTGTACGATGTAATTTCACTGGGTATTACACGAATTCCTGAATTCCTCCACGTGAGTATTCATAATAATAATTTAGTATGTGGTAATTAGTAATTAGTAATGTAATAATGATTTGCCAGTGCCTGCAGCAGGTCCCCCCTACCTTGTGTATGAGTTCCAGTTTCTCTCCGTTGTTGATGAGTTGGTAGGTGTGGAGGAAGCCACCGGAGCAGCTGCGAGGGTTCATGGTCATGTCCTTGGCCGTCCCCACCACCACAAACGTGTCGTCTCCGCGGTTTGCAAACTTACAGATTGCAATACTGGAGAACGGGGGAAGTGACAAGTGAGTATCCACTATAGCCTGTATGGCAAAAATTCATTTATTTAGGCGTAGGTCCAAAATACCTAATACATTTGCTCATTTTGTAGCTGCTTGATATGATTTACAGTATGGTTTTTGGAAAAGGACGAAAATTCATGGCATCATGCGCCTGCAGATGCCATCTATATAGTGTTGTCAACATGGCCAACATGGCTTAAAGTGGAAAGAAACAAGGTTCAGTAATCAAACCTGAAGGCCGCCTCATTCTGTTCCAGTTGAATGAGGTCCAGGGTGTTCCCCTACAAAGTAAAACAAAAGGCAAATCAATAAATTTATAATTATTAGTGACAAGGCGAAAAAAAAAAAACACGCCTTGGCATCCTATGATGGCCCCAAATGTTACAGTAGGAGCCAATAAAGTCAACATACCACGCTGGTTTACAATTCAAACATTTAAACCCATTTTAATCCAAGCACTGCATTGTCAGATGGAAAACCTGTAACAACAACGAGTACGAAGACAAAGAGTTTCCTCAACTGTTGGAGGTGAAATATTAGCATTTAGGAGTTGATTCAGAATCTGAAAGAAATGAAGCACACATATTCTAGAACTAGTTGATTAAATTGGTATGGCCTAACCTAAAACTAACAATTTTTCCTTTTTTTCTTTTGCATACCTGTATAGGGTTGAGTACCCTGATGACAGAAGCCCACATGCCCGGCCCAGCCTTGGGAGAGCCGAAGGTGGCCTCTGGCAGGTTCTCGTTAATGAAGGCTGCTGCCATCTCTGCTGCTAGCTCCTTCTCCTCCTCTCCTGCTGCCTCCACCATTTCCTGTGGGGTTACAGAGGAACAAAACCCACGTTAGTTTGTGCATTCATTTATTCTTGATATACACATATAGTTACCCCATTTGGCTATTTAGGCATCATGGGGGTTGAGCATAAGTTATGAGGAGTGTCCAGGCAAACAAATTTTATAATAACACCAATATTTGTCGCAATAAGCCTAAAAAAGCAACAATACAAAGATTAAATAAATGAATACAGTCTCTCAATACTAACAAATAGCTAAATGAGGAGTGCCAGTTTATTTTTTTGGACCAAAAAAGAAATAGCCAAAACTAGCCAGATTTACTGCCCTGAAATTGTTTTGAAAGCCTTAAATTTCTGCGTTTGTATGAAGCCTTTTTTAATCAATATGTTGGTGTCTTTGATATCAACACAGTAGTAGTGTCACCTGATCCTTGACCCTTGCTCGCTACTTTTAAATTGTTAATATCTATGTGTATTTATTGTTGATGTGGTGTACATGTATGTATGTATGTATTTTTAAATGTTTCTACTATGTTGTAATTAAGTAATTATGTAATTGTTTGAGCCTTGGAAGATTAGCCCTTCGGGGCTAAAAGGTTTCGAAATAAATGAAATGAAACAAAGAGGCTATTATGCACAAAAAGACGAAAAGATTTAGTGAGGAAGAAAGCTAGATGACAAGGGAAGCTCGTCCATGATTAATTACGTTACCTACATGGCGTCGGATACTGTTACCCTTGGGGAGAAACCCTATTTCTTTGTACGCTTTAATATCCGGATACTCCTATATATCTATCAAGGTAAAATATGACGTCTGCTCGCTGTAATGTTAGCCATTTGTCAAATGTTTGAAATTGGAGCATCTTGCCGGCAATTCTGGCTACTACATGTAGACACAGGGCTCGAAATCCTGACATGCAATTTGCATCCTTGGATTTTCAAGATTTGCATCATTTTTGCAGTTTTGCATGTTGAACAATACATGTACAACAGTGTTTCCTTCAGGCTGTGGAATAATGGCACTGCTACATGTATGTTGCTGTCACAGTGCTACTGTACTGATTTTGAAAAGCAGGGTGTTTCTTTCCTATTTTTTTTTCTGAACTGAAGATTTTTCTCAAGTCTATTGGTCAGGTTTATATTTCCTACGGATGCCACTACTGTGTGAAAATCTCCCTCTAGAGAAGACTGAAGGCTGGATTAAGTTGCATGACATTTTTTATATTGTACATGTAAATCCTCTGCCAAATTCATGAATGTGTGACAGCGGCCTTACCTCAGCCATCTGTTGTTTCCTCTGTGCCTTGGTGGCCTCGGTGTAGCTGTTGTGGTCCGTCTCGATCATGATGATGTTGTTACTCTGGGCATCAATCACAAACTTGCGGGGGGTGTACATCAGGGGGGTGGAGATCTGGTTAAACACTGCACCCAGCTTCTCCAGGGCCAGGATTCTGGGGGGAGAATACAAAAACATTACAGGCAGGGAAAATAAACCTGGCACTCAGGTGAGCTTCCCAGAATCTCCAAAAAGACCAGGAAGTGGAGAATAGAGCTAGCTGGACACAGCATCTGACATCCTGAGCTGCTAGCCAGCCAGCTCATCCTGAGGGGAGCCAGCAGAGGGAAGGAAGAGAACTGGGGTAGAAGAAATACAACCTTTCATTGACACCCTGAAGCAGGATGCTGGGCTCAGAAACATCACCACAGAACTCCACTCACGGATGGAGAACAGGGATGAGTGGAGAGGAAGAACCGGTTGTTCCCCATGATGACATTGCTGAATCATGATGTCCACATTTAAGGTTCAAGGTTCAAGAATAGCAGTACAAGTTGAGATATTTACCCACCTGAGTGTGTTTGCGGAGATGGCTACGATACCCTCCGGACACTGTTCTGAAGCGAAGCCTGAGGCGTACTCCAGTGTCTCGTACGACAGCGGTGTCAGGTGGAACCGGTTCTGGTACGTGTAACTCAACCACGAGCGACTGGACATGGCCAGGACCTGTCAAACAGCAACATTACATCTGTTACAATGTTAAAGATTGCATATAAGGTAACTGTAATTGTCTACCGCATTCCCTCTTATGTCAGGCAGACAGAATACTTCAGGTGATTGAGCCTGTCCACCCCCGTGTAGACTCTAGTTGGTATCGCCCAAAGTTGAAGGGTCACCCTCCCTGCGCATGCGCACCAGTCTAATTTTTTTGAGCAACCTGTAAACACCTTCGTGTTTTGCGTTGGTATCATGGGGTCTAGGCGTGAAAAGCAACGCGATAGACATCGTTCGAGGGCGCCTTCGGGTCCTAGGGCGACCGAGGAGAGTTCCAAGCGCGAACGTGGCGGTTCCCGGCGGCGTTCCAGCGGCAAGGAGCGCGAGGAAGGCGGGACAAGCCCGGGCGGGTCGGCGCACCATGTGCGTGAAAACGACCGCCATGACAGTCGTCAGAAGTCGTCTTCTCCGGCTATGCCGGTCCTCAGCGCTGACGGAAGCCAGCAGGAGGGCGACGGCGAGCAGAAGCAGCCGCCCACGGTTCAGCAAGACGGCAACTTGCCGTCTGACGGAGACATAAGCAGTGGTGGCGGCGACGGAAGCAGGAAGACGCATGATAGCGAAACGGAGTTTTCGCCAACAAACGTCCGCATCTCTGCCTTGGAGCAGAGTTTTGCGTCCATGTCTCAGAGGCTAGAGGCGTTCCAGGAGCTGATGTTAGCTCAATTTGAGCAATCTTCACCGAGGAAACGACGCAGCGCTCGTCCAGAGACGGCAGTTCCTGAGAAGCGCCGGAAGGAGATAGCGCTAGCGCCCGCAGTGGCAAGCAGCGCTCCCCGTCTCACGACGGGGCGGAAGGAGAGAGCGTCAGCGGTGACTCCGGCGAGCATCCGGCGGTGGCAGTTCCTGAGAAACGCCGGAAGGAAGATAGCGCTAGCGCCCGCAGTGGCAAGCAGCGCTCCCCGTCTCACGACGGGGCGGAAGGAGAGAGCGTCAGCGGTGACTCCGGCGAGCATCCGGCGGTGGCAGTTCCTGAGAAACGCCGGAAGGAAGATAGCGCTAGCGCCCGCAGTGGCAAGCAGCGCTCCCCGTCTCACGACGGGGCGGAAGGAGAGAGCGTCAGCGGTGACTCCGGCGAGCATCCGGCGGTGGCAGTTCCTGAGAAACGCCGGAAGGAAGATAGCGCTAGCGCCCGCAGTGGCAAGCAGCGCTCCCCGTCTCACGACGGGGCGGAAGGAGAGAGCGTCAGCGGTGACTCCGGCGAGCATCCGGCGGTGGCAGTTCCTGAGAAACGCCGGAAGGAAGATAGCGCTAGCGCCCGCAGTGGCAAGCAGCGCTCCCCGTCTCACGACGGGGCGGAAGGAGAGAGCGTCGGCGGCGACTCCGGCGCTAGCGACTCGGTGTGGAAGCCGTTCGACCCGACGAACAAGGACACCATGCACTCATGGGTAGCCGACGATGTTGTCTTTTCTGAAGTAGAAAAGTACTTCAAGCATGACCAGCAGCGCCGGGGTACAGACTTAGAGGCGTGGCAGCAGAAGTTCAGCATGCCCGACAACGCTCCATCCACGATGGTTGCACCGAGTTTCAACGACAACATAGCCAGGGCTGTCGTCGACAATGACAAGAAGCAGGGTGAGCAGATCATTTCTCATGATAAGGCTCTAAAGAACATCCATTCGAACTTGGTGCATATTGGTACACCTTTGATGAATCTGTGGCAGATGATTCAGCGTTGTAATAGTGAGAACTTTGAAGAGTTGCAGCTAGAGATGAGTGACTGTGCTGGTTCAGCACTTGTGTTGCTGGGGTCGCTACATTCTCAGTTGGCGTTCACCCGACGCACGTTCATAGCAGAGTCATCCCAGAAGAAGTTTAGAGACCTTTTCAAGGCAGCATCTGAAGACCCAAAGTTCCTGTTCCCGCCTGACATGGGGTCAAAGGCTAAGGACTTGTCGTCAGAGACGAAAGTGCTGGTTGGCATGCTCAGCCAGGACGACCAGGGGAAGTCTTCAGTGCCGAGGCGTGGTGCTCGTCGCGGCGGCGGCAGAGCAACTGGCGGAGGGTTCAGCTACAGCTACAGAAACTCCCGCTACATGCCACGGGCCAATTATGGCCAGTACAGTTACAGGGGTTCACAAACCCGACAGTTCTACAATCGCAACCAGTCCTTTCAGTCTAAGTCGGGGGACGGGAAGCAGAAGCAGTCCAAGTAACAGACACGGCTTCAGAGGGAGAAGCACGCCGGCGTTTGACCGAATTTCAACATGTACCCAACACTACTCAGCTACTTCACGGAGGCAGGCTAGCCCACTTCATGCAGGAGTGGAGGCAGTTGACTTCCGATCCTTGGGTTCTTCAGTGCGTCAGGGGGTACAGGTTGGAATTTGCGAGAACGCCTCCGGTGCAACGACATCTGCCATCTTGTTGAGCAAGAAGTCCAGCTCAGATAGAAGTTCTGAGCGGAGAGGTAGAGACTCTACTTGCCATAGGGGCAATAAAGGAAGTTCAGTATCAACACAATCAGTTTGGTTTCAACTTTGTTTACAATGCCAAAAAAGACAGGAGGTCTTCGTCCTGTTATCAACCTGAAACCATTAAACAAGTTCTTAAATGTTCAGAAATTCAAGATGGAAACTCTGGGAGTTATCAAGAACCTGGTTCGACCAGGAGATTTTATGGCAAAGTTGGATCTCAAGGACGCATACTTTACCATCCCGGTAGATGCGGACAGTCGCCGGTTCCTCACCTTTCAGTGGCAGGGCCGGTTTTACCAGTTCCAGTGCCTGCCCTTCGGCGTGGCGACCGCCCCGAGGGTCTTCACGAAAGTGTTGAAAGTTCCTGTGGCTATCCTGCGAAGACGGGAGTTTCGTCTAGTGGTGTACTTGGACGACATCTTGGTGATCGGCCGCTCCAGAGAAGCATGCCGAGAAGCTCTTTGGGCAGCCATAGAGCTCCTGTCAAGGCTGGGATTCGTCCCCAACCTCGAGAAGTCTGTTCTAGAGCCATCACAACGCATAACCTTCCTCGGTTCCGGCATCGACACAACACAGATGGTTACTTTTCTCCCCGAGAGCAAAGTTCTAGAGCTACAGCAGTTAGCACAAGACGTACTGACTGCAGACAGAGGGATGTCAGCAAGAGAGTTAGCAAGCGTGATTGGCAGGCTACAAGCCACAATCATGTCCGTATGGCTAGCGCCGCTGCACTTCAGAAGTTTGCAGCGTCTGCTCATCACAGTTCTGCGTGTGACAAGAGGTCACTGGGAACAGCTCGTACCACTGACAGAATCAGCAGGAGCAGACTTAAGATGGTGGACAGATCACCTACCCAGACACAACAGTCGTCCAATCCTCTCACCCGCAGCAGACATTGTGGTGGAGACGGATGCCTCTACTGCCGGCTGGGGTGGGTACAGCAACGGCGTACATACAGGAGGCCGGTGGTCTGTCGAGGAAGGACAGGCACACATAAACATCCTAGAACTGCGTGCAGCGTCACTGACGGTTCGAGCGTTCTGCAAGGAGCTAGTCAGCAAGCACGTGAAGGTCCTCACGGACAATGTGACGGTAGTCGCCTATCTGAATCGTCTCGGAGGGACGAGATCTCAGAGATTGCTAGACATAGCTCTCGATCTATGGGAGTGGTGCGTGAACAGAGACTTGTATATCACAGCAGAACATGTACCAGGAAAGGAGAATGTCCGAGCGGATTACAATTCCCGGCATTTTTCTCCGGCCACGGAATGGACCCTGGATCGTCACACGTTCCTGGGTTTGCAAGCGACATTTCCACGACTCATGAAGGGGGTGGATCTGTTCGCAAGCGACATTTCCACGACTCATGAAGGGGGTGGATCTGTTCGCGTCCCGAACAAACTACGAGCTACCTCAGTATGTGTCCTGGCATCCAGAGCCAGAGGCAATCGGGACAGATGCGTTCACAATGAACTGGAACAGGTGGGATCTGCCATACGCTTTTCCCCCGTTCATGCTAGTCGCACCAACTCTAAGGAAAGCGCGAGAAGACAGAGCTCACCTGCTTCTCGTAGCTCCGATCTGGGACACAGCAGTCTGGTACCCAGTCCTGCTGGAGATGCTGGTAGAAGAACCAGTGTTACTACCTCGCCACAACAGTCTCCTGACACAGCCAGAGTCAGGGATGTCTCACCCAGAGGGCACAAAAATGCAACTAGCCGCTTGGCATGTCTGTGGAGTCAGGAACGACATGTATGGCATTTCGCCAGAGGTTAGCAAAATCCTCTTGGCATCATGGAGAGCAGGAACACAGAAGCTGTATGCTTCGGCCTGGGACAAGTGGAGTGGCTGGTGTGATCAACGGCACATCCATCCCGTTTCTGCACCTCTGAATAAGGTGCTAGACTTTCTGTTATCCTTGTACGACAAGGGTTTCCAGTACAGAACTATCAATGTGTACAGATCAGCTATATCTACTACACATCTTCCCTTGGAAGGGCAGCCTCTAGGATCACATCCGTTGGTGAGGCGGTTCATGAAAGGTGTGTTTGAACTACGTCCAGCACTACCCAAGTATAGCTTTACCTGGAGCGTCGGTAAAGTTTTAAAGTTGCTAAGGAGTTGGCCTCCAGCAAGTTCTTTTTCACTTCGTTTGTTAACCTTAAAACTTATTATGTTGTTTGCTCTTACTTCTGCGGGAGGAGAGCAGTCTCTTTCGTTGCTGGATCTGAGATTCAAGAAAAGAATCTCCGACGGAGTTTGTTTTACTGTTAACAGTCTCTCCAAGACTTCACGGCTGGGCAAAGTCACACACGACATTGTGATTCCAAGCTTCCCGCAGGACAGAAGAATCTGCCCGGTAACATACCTGAAAGCGTATGTATCAAGAACTAGAAGTTTTCGTTTGTGCGACAGTTTTCTGTTTAGAGCTCTTGTGGAGCCACACCAGGCGGTATCTACGTCTACCATCGCTAGATGGCTAAGAACTGTGTTACAAGAGGCCGGGATCGACACCTCAAGGTTCACCGGACACTCAACTAGAGGGGCGTCTGTCTCTGCTGCGGCACGACAAGGCGTATCAACCAAGGACATTCTAGCAGCAGCTAATTGGTCTACAGCTTCTACTTTTAAGAAATTCTACAACAGACCGGTGGGGTCAGCTTCATTCGGAAGAAACGTCCTGGCCTCAGCAGCTACAAATCTCACCTGAAGTATTCTGTCTGCCTGACATAAGAGGGAATGCGGTAGACAAATACAAATTGTCCAAACCTAGTGATGGACAGGTGTAGTTGTCTCCGCATCCCTCGTTGTCAGGCAGACACCCTCCCTGACTGGTGCAGTTCTCCACGAGTTCCGGCACGACCCATCCCGAGAGGGCTTCGGCCAGGTGGAGCTGAAAAACTTTAGACTGGTGCGCATGCGCAGGGAGGGTGACCCTTCAACTTTGGGCGATACCAACTAGAGTCTACACGGGGGTGGACAGGCTCAATCACCTGAAGTATTCTGTCTGCCTGACAACGAGGGATGCGGAGACAACTACACCTGTCCATCACTAGGTTTGGACAATTTGTATTTTTTAAATATTTGGAGTTATGCTCATGGTTTCTAATACGCTCTCACTGCTAAGATGTTCTGTCTTCAAGGTGCTTCTACTGTAACCCTTGTTTCAACACAAACCATTTTTCCCTCATACTACATTTATAAAATTGAGTCCATGTGAACTTTAACCACTTGACAGTTACTGATTAAAAGGTACATGAAGGAGTTAAGGAGTACTCACAGCTTCGTTGCCCTGCATCTTGACCTGGAAGAGTTTGACAGGGCGTGATCCCAGGTACCGTGTCCGTGTGTCTGACAGGTCTCCTGTCACCTGGTCAAGCACTGTTCTCAGCAGGACACCGTTCTACATAGCAAATCACAAGGAAGAGATTTCAGACTCTCAAGTTGACCCCATTTCCTATGTCTGAACTTTTTTTGGAGGCTGTCAATCTTCCCCATCCATGTGCAGTCAACCTATTCTCAAGTTCATATTTCCTGTGTCTGACCTTTTGATCTGTCCTTGAGGCTGTCAATCTTTCCCATCCATATGTAGTCAACTTATTTTCAAGTTCACCACATTTCCTGTGCCTGATCTGTTATTGTGCCTGTCAATCTTCCCCATCCACATGTATGTGCAGTCAATCTACTCTCAAGTTCACCACACTTGGTCACCACACATTTGTGGTGGTCACAAATAATAGCATAATGTCCTAATTTGCTGAAACGTACTAAGCTAGAACCCCATGTTAGCATGCGTGTAGCAGGGAGTCTTCCACCAGTGGGACTGCACACCCGAGGTGGAATTGGTATTTCCCTGCCCGTTCACTCTCCCTTCCAAGAACCAATGCCAGGGGGCCGGGAGTCACCGACCAGCAAGGATAGAGGAAGGGTAATACTCTACTGTCAAATACCTGCAGTGGTGTAAAGTCTTCCATTGTTGTATATTATACATGTATCAAGCTGGTGTGTTACGCTGAAGGGCGGTTATACAGGCCATACATATACAGATACAGATAAGGCTGCATGGCCATGTTGATTACATAGATTATATGGCTGACATCTTCTGGGAATCCAAAAACTGATGCAAGCGTGCGAATAAGGTTGAACAAAAATGACTAAAAACACAGAGTATGGTATGGCAAATAATAGACTCTTCATTTTCATTTCTTAACATTTTCTTCTATACCTTTGGCATTCTACAACATAAGTATCATCTTCTAAAGCTGCTTTGTATGATTTACCACAGTGACTATGGTTGAAAACTTTTTTTGGAAGCGGACAAAAATTCATGCGTATGCAGATGTCATCCATATATAAATCACATCAACACGGCCTGAGTAGTACAGACCTGTAAGCCGATGTTGAGAAACAGCATGGTGTTCCTGGGCCCAGTGTCGTCTATCCCCTCCCCACTCCCCATCTGTAATATACACAGGGACTCCGGCGTGGCAGGCAGGGCCTGCATACTCAATGGCTGCAGACAGTCCTGGAAAATAAACAGCACGGTTTAGGAGGATTGCTGGTGACTGTCTGTTACCTTCTTTAGGGTAACCATGACTCAGGTGTCCAGTTAGCTCACTAAAGAGTTAACCTTCCACTGGTTAAGATAGAAAAGACACAATATTTGCTGTAAAATAGAGGTTCATTGAACCAAGAAAATTCTAGGTCTTTTCAAACATCATTACGAACTATCAACCAAGTCATGAGTGACTAGACACGCAGACACAAGATCATCAAGATCTCACAGGTTCAATTCCTTACATTCCTGTCAAGACGTTGTTGAATTTGAAAGGCACTTCACACATCTTTCCTCTCTCCACCCTGGTGTAAAAAGGGTATCTGACTTCGGTTGGGGAAGTAAAAGGCAGTTGAATGAAAGGGACCGAACCCCCCTTCCAATACTTTGCCCTAGACACAGAGGATTAAAAAAAACACCGCCCTTTAACAAGTTCCGTACTTACTGCAGGGTCTAGTGAGATGATTCTGACAGTGTCGTCAGCGAGGCCCACAGCTAAGAACCTGCAGCGCTGTTCTCCCACAGGTACATTAGCCAGCGCCATGCAGATCACCTCGGCTGACATCTCCTTACGTTCTGTGTACTCGTTCAGCTGACCAGTCTGGTGGGATAAACAACAACAACAACAAATCAGTACAGTTGTTCCCTCACAGGTACGTCCTTACAAGGATCGTCCCTGAGACAGTTCTCAGTTTGCAAGGAATCTGACCAGGCTGTGCCTAGGATTGAATCTAAAAGACACCAAATGCGATTCCAGGGCAGTAAAACTGGATTTTCAATGTCAATTTCTGGTCATTTTTTTTTGTAGTGAGTTGAATCAACAAAAAAGTGTCACACGTAACTTTTCTTGTGCTATTTCATATGTTTTGCTTGCGTACAAAATGATGACGAATAGCAATGGCAGTAAATGTCAATATCAGACAGATTTCCTGATCCGGAATGTCCTTCATATTGCTGGCCTGAAATTACATTGGATGCCTTTAGTAATGATTAAAAAAAACAAATTAGTACTTACAGGGTCCATCTCAAAGTAGACCAGTTCCCCTCCAGTCAAGGCTATGACTACCTGTCTCTGGTTGACTGCACACTTGACGATGGTTTTCTTGCCTGGTGTCCGCCACTCGTTCACTCGCTTGTCTGCACGGATGTGACGGATGCCTTCTGGGTAAATCTGAAACGGACAAAAGCACTTCTACATGTAACTTCATGATATATAACTAATAAGTAATACTTCAAGCATATACATACATGACACATGTAGAGAGAGTAGAGACTTAACAGTAGAGACTCTAATCTGACTCTAATCTATCGGCAATTCTACTGGTAGTTCCTTGTAGCTGCCTGTATCAGAGAACTTGAAATGTTCAGTTGAATATATTCAATTTGGTAATCCACTCTATAGCTCATGCATGCCACCTAGTGAGCAGGAAGTGCACTGCAGCAGCTACCCCTCTAACAACAATGTGACACAGTAAATTGTATGTCATTGATGACTGTTGGAACCTTACCAACAGTAACAGGATTGACAAACAGTACAGAAAACAGAACTTCTCCTGCTACACCTCGTGATGAGGATGACCAAAGAAGAAGAAGGAACCTCACCTGAAGAAGAGCGTCTTCACCAATCAGTGAGCAGGACAGCGTCGGAGTGGTACCCAAGAACCCGGAGTCCGTCACTTCCTCAACGGTCTCTCCGATGGACAGTACCAGGGTGGCGTTTACGAAGGACACAACGATGTACGCATCAAACTCATCTGGACAAGGCAAAGTCATCATGGGACAAATTTAGCTGTGTATTTAAACAAATTTTAGATACAGGTACAGATGTGACACTGACCTGCATGATACCAACTAATTGCAAAAGGCCATGAAGGACAAAGTGCTATGGAGGAGACTTTCTGGATTGTACATGTGTAAGTAAGTACAGATTTTTCAGGGTAATTTACTACAGCCAGAGACTGTAACACAAACTGTCCTGTCTCTGCAGCCCTTACCGTCCACATTTTTCTTGACAGTCCACACAGCGTTGGGATTACCGGGCAGTTCTGACACGGCCATTTCCGACACCTCCAGACCGTGTCTCAGTACCCGGAAGGACGAGCGCGGTCCCCTCCCATTGGCTACGTACAGCTGCGGTGTGTCCTCATTGGCCAAATCTGCAATCTGATGGTGGCAGAAATGTTTATGAAATTTTCAAGTTTTCAGGTCTGCTCTTCTTTATGTGTACCTAAAAACAATTAAAAGACTAGAAAGGTAACATTTGCAAAGCAAATGTGTAACGTTTACCAAGTCCAATAACGGTCTTCTCTGTTAATTCTTACTCAAACACATTCACATATATGGTGACAGGAGTCTAAATCCCTTTTGCTATAAAATTGCAACATGATGTAGCCCAACACCAGTTACCATGGTGAGCGAGTCTGGTTCAGGTCACTGACCAGATCAGAGGTCAGTGTTTTAAGAAGAGGAAAAAGAAACAGAGCAAAAACTATCTGTTTTCCTTTGGTAAGCAAAAAAAAAAGAAGAAGAACATACCTGACATGACATGATGGGTGAGAGACTGTCCATCTCATCCACTAACACCAGGTTCTTGAGTCCGCGGGGGGTGAAGAGAAACGTGTCCCCCTCCTCCAGAGGCATCGCCGAGCTGAACTCAGGCTCCTCATCATCATCACCCAGGTGGGCAATCTGATACAGGTAGCTGGGGTGGGAGGGGGGCAGGAAACAAGACATCAAACATTTCATCATCATCATCATCACCCAGGTGGGCAATCTGATACAGGTAGCTTCAGGAAACAAGAAATCAAACATTTCACACCTCCATGAAGTATATAGAGGATTTCTTGGGTTATTACTCCGTGAAGGAGCTCGAGGTATACCTCCAGCAGGAGTATTGTGGTCAGATGGTTTTTCGTGTTCGCAGCTAAAACACAGGGTTTCCTTTGTTTAATCGACATGTAATTTTATACGCTGTCTGCAGGCATGCCCGTGATGACGCACATGTTTTTATTTTTACAGTAGCAGTTCTAAGCTAAGGCGACACCAATTTAATTTGTTGGTTCTCGGATTTTGTCAGAAAAAACATGAAGCGACAGGGCGAAAAAAAATGTAGAAGTTTACTTACTGATTTCCAAATTCTGAAGCTACAAAAAGGAATCCAGTCTTGAGCACACACATACTGGTGGCCACGGGGACTGTGTCAAAATATTTCAGCTTGATCTCTGTGACCTGCAAGAAAAACAGATAGATTCATAATGACAATACTACTGGCACATGTTACATTGATCTAAATTCTGAGTGGCGCAGGTAAAATTTCTCTGGTGCAGGTAATTTTTATTCAATGTTGCCTGTACCAGTGCAGGTATGAAGAAATCAGCATTTTGCCAATGGGAAAGCAATTGTTATCACATTCTTTTCAAAAGATAGCATTGTTCTCTATTAAGCACTATGGGCAAACTTATCTTTATGACTGATGTTTGACTTCTTACCATATCCTCATCTGTCTCCAAGGTTATTTTGAAGATGTCCCCCTGTTCTGTCTGTGCCAGGAAGAAGAACATGGACTTGGTCTTGTGGGTGGCACTGCACACGAAGATCATGCCTCGCTCTGGGTCGTCAAGGTCGTTCTGCCAAGGTCAATATGGAGACTTTGTGTGAGAGAACAACTCTTAACAAAAAACAACAAGTTATCACGAATTTGTTGTTAAAATCGGTATTATTGTGAAATTTTCTGTCACACTGAGCCAACAGACTCCCTGCTTTTCTGCTAACTTCCTGCGTGTGACATGTTGTTTTCTGTGGTTAAGGAATTCCCCCCAACCAAGTCACTCAATACATTTAGCAATACAAACACACATTAGCAACCATAATAACACAATGCAAGACAGAACATATTTGCAGTTTAATGAAGTGTTAGTCATCAAGAAAACTGCAAAGACAAACCTACTGCAAATGTGTTACGATTTAAAGTCAGTTGCCATGACAAGACAGCACACCATAATTGAGAGGAGAGAAAAGAAGCCTTACTCTTCTCCTGGGGATGGGTGATCTGATGTCAGGCTGGTCTCCAAAGTTCTTGTAGGTGATGTAGTTCTCTGAACAGATCAGGACTCCGCTGGGACCCTCACTACCTCCAGGGACTAACAAATAAAACATGCAATATGATTAGATAAACAATTTATATAGAGTAACAATTTATATAAATACTGACAAGAAGTCAGAGATTTCAAACATATGGGAAGCATGCAATCCTTGGCTTTCCTACTTCGATGACTTCTCTATGCTTGCCAGATACTTAAGACTTTTGACCTCCTGTCATTTTGCCTGTCAACAATACCTGTCTGAACCTCAAGGGCAATCGCGCTGCACCTGCTAAGAGTAGGGGGGCAGTGCCCTTGTTTTTCTGTTTAGAACCCCTCTAAGATAACAGTGCCCTTGTTTGGCTGAGTCAGAATCTGGTAAAGCAAGAACTTTCTTCAAGTTTTACATCAGAAAATTGGTAAGACTTTTGATCATCATTCTCAGCATCCAAGCATGACCCTGTAAATTCAAGATACAAAATTCAAAGTAGTAAAATGGGGCTTTCTGAAAATCAAACCTTATCATTTTAGACCTGTCCAAAGAGACCACTTTAACTCGCATTTAACACATTTAACTAGAGAGGTCAGATTTGCAAGCCATAATGCATTATGTTTAGTTTCACACGGTCTAGCCCAACAACTTCAACAAACAAACAAACAAACAAACAAACCTGCGATGAGGAAGTTCCCGTGTTCCTCCAGTGGTTCGCTGTACTTCCTGACGACATGGTTCAGACCCAGGTCTAGCTCGTAGAAGGTGAGGCACTGCTGTGTGCTCTGGGACGACTCTCCAGTAGGGTCGTTGTCTGCATCCTAAGGAAGGAAAACGTGCATTTAGATTTACTACAATTCTAGCAGTATTTAGCATTTCATTTACTGTAGTTCACAATTTTTTGTGGTACTTAGAACAAATAATTTGACTGAATGGCTGAGTCAGAATCTGGTAAAGCATGAAGAATTTCTTCAAGTTTCACATCAGAAAATTGGTAAGACTCATGATCATCATCCTCAGCATTTGTCAGACCGTCTACAAATTTGCCTTGAATGTTCCTGATGGAGGAAAAATCTTTGGAAACAACTTATACCAGCTGAATTTTACCTGCACTTGAGTTTCTTTACCTTTTCCTTCAAACTATTAAGATTATCCTGAGAGGGGATGGGCGCTGCCTTCCAATATCATGCCCAAAGGGACTGTGGATTAACAATCCACTGCCCCTACGGCCTGATTAAGGACTACCAGACAACTTTTTAATTAAAATTAGAAAAGAAATACCACTGATAGCTTACCTCATAGTCTATCTCCAGACAGGCGAACATGGGGTTCTCGAAGCCGATGTCCACCCCTACCAGATGGTAACACAGCGTGTTGGACTTGTGTGCCTCCAGGGGTGAGGAGATGGTGAGACGGGCTGCTGCATCTCTGTTCAGGATGTACACCAGCTTCTGCTTCTCTACAGCTCCTGTTACAGTAATAGGGACAAACCCATGGAAATTAGATTATGGGTACCACCAATGAGATGCATGTAGTCTGATGTATTTTCAACGGACATAGGGCAGCAACCAGTACAGGTTAGGTGCAGATAGACATCAGAAATACCTGCACAATTTTACCTGCACTAACCTGCATATACCCAGTACTAGTACTAGTTCATGTTAGGTACAGGTAGACATCAGGAATACCTGCACAGCCCCAATATGCACGTACTGTATATGCCCAGTACGTACACATTCAAACCAATAACAACCCACCAGAAAACAATAGTTCCATAACCTGAAGTAACAAAACATCACGGAGGGATGACTTACCGATCATAAGTGCTCTGCCCTTGGGGTCCACAGCTAGGTACTGTCCAGGTACAATTCTCCTGCAACCACTTTTCCCAAATGTCTCCTGGTGAACCTGTAAATATAAGCCCACAAGCAAAACTGTTACGCAACAAGTAAAGACTCTACCCTTGTTTATGTTTCAGTGTCTATCAGAAACAAGCGAACACTAAAAATACAAGTAAAGCTACAACAGATATCAGGGACACATTATACCTCCTTATAAACCGAACGTCGCTGGTATGTTTTTAAACACCCACCTCGTTTTATATAAGGGTCACATTATGGATTGTTAGGCTGAGTCAGAATCTGGTAAAGCAAGAAGTTTCTTCAAGTTTTACATCAGAAAATTGGTAAGACTTTTGATCATCATTCTCAGAATCCAAGTATGACCCGGTACATTCAAGATTCAAGATTCAAAGTCTAGTAAAATGGGGCTTTCTGAAAATCAAACCTTATCATTTTAGACCTGTCCAAACAGACAACTTTACCTCGCCCCAACCCTGTAGCCTTCTTGGGCAAGTTTGACTGTAACATGTTTAGCCACCTGCTGTATGTTCCAAATGTAGGCCTTGCTATCCAGCTTACTATTTATCTAAACTCTTAGTTAATACATCACCTTGTCAAACTTATTCTTGGCTGGCAGGTATTCCAGGATGACAATTCTTCCTGAGTCTGTGCCACACACAATGTAGTCTGGAAAACAACAAGGAAAAGTTACATCCAAAATATTCCACATCAATATCTGAAGTTATTGCAGAAAAATTGAGGTGCAAATCTGATATGGTCCTTACATGGTGGTAACTTGATAAGTACAGGGGTTTTTCTAGAAAAATTTAGCATGAGGGAGCAGATCTCAAGCATGTCAAGGAACAAAGCGACCTAGGGGGGATTTTTTCAAAAGTAGCCACTTAGGCTTCAACCTGAAAATTGGTATGAGGGGGCTGGCTGGTTATATGAGGGAGCAGCTCCCTTATTGTTATTCCCCTGTTTAGAAAAAACCCTGATTATCACATACACAATGTAAGCTGAGTCAGAATCTGGTAAAGCATGAAGAATTTCTTCAAGTTTTACATCAGAAAATTGGTAAGACTCATGATCATCATCCTCAGCATTTCACTGTGACCAGTGACCACGTGTTTTATCCCAATTCTAAGTTAGTAACAGTTCAAAGCAGGTGAGATGCCATTTTCTGTGAACTGTTAGGCCAGGTTGATTTAATAATCTGGATAAGGTAGGAACCCCAAAACTGATGCGAGTAAAAAAAGAGTTGCCATCAATATGAAATTGATGTGGTCGTATTAAGTAAGTGAACAAATAACTGAACACACGAAGTATGGTATAAGGAATAATACACTCTTCATTTTCATTTCTTCTTCACATTTCCTAAATGGAAACTAGACCCACCTTTGGTTCCTCCCGTTAGTCTGAACGACATCAGCGATCGTATGACGCCAAAAACCACGTTTTATCTTTTATTCTGAATCTAACTAATTCAATTCGGTAACAGTTTCAAACTCTATGACTTCTCTCTCCTTAATCAACTAGACTCACCTTTGGTCCCACCCGTTAGTCTGAACGACATCAGGGATCGTATGACGCCGAAAATCTCCACCGAGAGCAGCGTGTGGATCTTGCCGGTGTTGGGGTCTGGTCGCATCAGCTCCAGGATTTTACCCCGCGACGTCACGATCTCCTGCTGCCGCGTGCCGGAGAAGTTCCCGTGGATGGCGTGGGTCACGCCCGTGGCGCGCTGTAACGTCAGCGCGTACAGAAACATGGCGGTACTCTGGTGGACCTGGTGGAGACAGAACAATTCTGTAACTCAAAACAGTAATGTTATATGTACTACTGCCAGTTACAGCAATACTGGTCCATTTTAACAAACCGCATCACCATCTTGGATATAGGCAGGAATGTTCTGTACCGTCGTGACGGTCGTGGGGAAATATACACCTGATTCAAGAGTCGTCGTAGCTAGTAAGTCATATACGTCAAGGTAATGTTTACCCTAATATTATAAATAAATAAATCAGAGGTAAAGTCTACCTAAATTTAATTTTTTCTGATATCAATTTGAGGCCACCTGTGGCATTAAAAAACCTGACAGATCCAGACATAAACTATTGGACGCTTAAAATAAGATATAGTGTATCTCCCTAGATTGAAAATGTTTCATCACTTTATGTTTGCTGACCTCGAATTGACCTATAATTTAGCAGTTTCGCCTGTTTGAGCTCGGTCTGTATCCGATCTCAAAACTGCCCCCCTCCCCCTTTCGAAAAAAATATAATAATTTGAGCTCACACACTTGTAGTTTTATTCTACCGTACTCGATCGATTGTAAAATACAATATATAAACGTATAAACAATATATACCAAAGTATGTTGCAGTAAAGGCAAAGAAACTATCTGGTTGCAAACAAGAGCTGCTTTGGCTCCTTCGGTGACGTTCATACGACGTTCGCGTTACCCATAATCATTCAGATCGCACACGAGCATTTAAGTCTCAATTTTCGATGGATGCACTGAGTTTTCTTGACAAATAATACGATATGCATGTTCTATGCTTAGTTTGCTTCAACATAAAACATTGTTTTGTGATTAGAGATGAAGAAATAAGGACGATGGACACGGATTACAAACTAACCTTTCAGCGACGATATATCCCAAACAATAGCTCCCCTCCCCACGCGCGACACACAGACAGCGTAGGGGCGTGTATGGGGTAGAAGAGGCGCATCGTAAAAAAACATTTGGCCTTGAACTATCAAAAAGGACGGTAATAAGAGAATAAGATATGGCAAACATAGATATGCTCATAACCTTATCTTTCTTTGATAGTAAGATGGCATATTTTTCCCTCACAAGGGAAAATGGTTCACTTATTTTGGGGTAAAATAAAGATCTCTGTTAAACCACTGTTGATCCTCAAAACAACCCACAATTCCCCCGAGGTCCAAGATGGCGGCGGCCACGTCTACTGGATCGTTCACTCGCGAAGAAATCGAAAACCTGACGGAAATGGAGGACATTCAGAGGGCCTACGACCAACTATGCAACGACGAGGTACGCCGGTTTCTTTTTGGTGCATTTATTAAGGTTGTATCTGTGAAAGGAGGCGTACGTTTAGCTCGAAAGCTAGTGGGGAGGGGGGCGTTCCTAGACACAACATCAACATGAGTACCTGCAACTTATTTTGATGCCTCGATACTTCAAGGTACTAGTATTAAGGTATATTATCAGCTCTGAAAAGAAAAAGAAAAGAACTATAATAGAGTGGAACTCGCTTAGAGACTTAGATGCCTGCAGTTAGATGTGCAAAGGTTAGGTGTGTACCAGGTCATTAGTGTACTGTGATTGAAGCTGGTGTGTTCTGCCGTTTGGTGGTTATACTGGCTATACCAATACAGATAAAGATGTTATATAAATGCTTCGCATGTTACAAATTCTGATGCAACTGTATTTTGCTATTGCCTGTTCCACAGAAAGAGGTTACAGAACAACTGGATAGTTTACTGGACCAGCAGCCTACTCTGGAGGGGAAAATGTCAACCTTACATCGTATGGGGTAAGTTCTTGTATTGGGAACTCAGTCTTAAATTGAAAAAAAGAGTGGTCATGTTCTAGCCACATGTTTCTTGACATCACTCCTTATTCAGTATGTATGATAATATAAAACATCTGTCTTTCTTCTTGTAATAAAACAACTTCTATTAAAACAAAAACTGTCCCTTACAGGCCCAACCTTCAGCTGTTACAGCAGGACTCGGAGCAGCTGGCCAGCATGATCTCCTTCACCTGTCAGCTGGCCGAGAACGTCAGCAGCAAGGTCAGACAGCTGGACCTGGCCAAGGTCAGTGGGTCACTCCAAACTACCGTCTTCAACTCTTCATCTCCACGCAGATGTTAGATTATGGAAGAGTTTTCCTTTACACAATCAAGATTGTCTCACCTGAGTGCTTATGTTTTGGTGTCTATCAGACACCTTCCTCAGAGCTTCTGACTGGAGTTCTGCTTCTCGCCGTTATATGTAGCTGATGTAGGTGGCACTTTTGCGGTGAGAACACTTGAATCTCTTGATTACTTAGTGATAAGGGAGAATGCTTTGTCGTTACAGAGTCGTGTCCAAGCTGCTATTCAAAGGGCTGATGACATCCTGGATCTGAAGGTGAGGGATTTAACTACGTGTACATGCTGAAACTTGTCTATTGTTAATTTCCTTTTACATATAAGAAACAAGATTTTTTTAAACATAAAGATGATTTTGTATTACATCCAGTTACTAACTTTTAGTCTCCAGTTTTGTACAGATGGGGTCCAGACAGCTTTGCAGACTGGAAATTATGAACAGGTACATGAAAGTTTTTACATACCGGTACTTGAGTTCTTGAATTCTTGAAAAGAAGGTTGGCATACAAAATTGTGATGTTTCAAGGATACTACCTAGAACTTATTTTCATTCAGTATGTTAACTTTGGGCATTAAAAAACTCTATTCTTGTACATACGTATTGTAATTCTTATTTTCATTTATTATTATTCTGATATTTTGTCCAAGTTTATTATTTAAGGGTTAATGACCCGCCCCGAGGTGAATATGGTGTGATAAAGCCTTGTCAGTTGCTATAACCACCGAATAAAGCCACCAAGTGAGCGCAGCGAACGAGGTGGCTTTATGAGGTGGTTATAGCAACTGACAAGGCTTTATCACACCATATTCACCGAGAAAGGGCGGGCCATTAACGCTATTATCATATAGCTTACACGATAGCCTATCCAAACTGATGCAGTGAAGAGTGACACAATGTACAATTTACCCCTTGCACATGCTGAATAGAACATAGAATATTTGTTCCATCTGGAGTCACCTGAGGTCACTGGGGGGTTCACGTTCTATCTGGGTCACAGGCAGGGAACAGGTGTTCTTATGGGAGTCACCTGAGGTCATCGGAACACAACTCAAGTTATTTTTGGATTTTTTAGAAGTAGAGCCGTGTTCTATTGGGTCACCTGAGGTCATATGCGGGTGATTATTCATTTTGTTTAATGTATGGATTGGGATGAATAAGTACCCGATCTTGACTCTATTTGTGACATTACGGCGACATAAAGAATGTGGAATGGAGCCTTCTGATTGGTCAACGTCACCCGGCTATATGATAATTGCTGTTAATGGTGACATATAAATCAATACCTTGTATTCCAGGCTGCAGCACACATCCATCGGTACCTCAGTCTAGATGAGAAAGTACTCAAGCAGAGCATTCCAGATGCAAAGGAAGGTAAGTCTACTACTGTCTTCTACTCTTGGAAGCAGTGATAAGAGAGCTGCATTTTTCAAACGCCAAAATGTTTGTGTTATTGTATAAAATTTGCATTCATAAAATAGGAGCAGACTGCTGGTGCTAGACGGTCTGATATACATGGTATTCGTAAAGTCACATGTGAATAAGGTCATGTGTCTGTAACTGTAACTCTCGCGACTTCATGTCCAGAGGTAATTGGTCATTGATTATCCTGATGAAGGCAACAGTGGTCACTGAAAATTTTATCTCTCTGTCCTCATTGTGTTGGAATAAAGGTCAACATTGCACTTTGAATGATTGCTACCAACACAGATGAACTTTCATGATAATGTATGTGACTTATTTATATGTCTTGAAGATCTCATCAATTTTCTCTCTTCACCCAGGCAGTGGAATAGAACACTCCCTGGAGCTCTTACACAAGGCGGAGCAGGAACTCAAGGTCATTATCAACAAGGAGTTTGACGAGGCCGTGGACAACAAGGATGCGACCGCCGTCGACAGGTTCTTCAAGATCTTCCCTCTGATTGGTCTGAGAGACGAGGGACTGAAGAAATTCACCGCTTACCTCTGTACTCAAGTAAGTAGGGGGGAAGTAATGGTTCCATAGTCTATTTGAGGCCCAGATTTTTCAACCAAGGATTGAGGTGTTCAAAAATTAGATTGAACTATTGTAGAGTGGAACTCGCTGCCACCAAGTACAGTAGTGGCATTATTGTTAGATAGCTTTAAATGATGTTAAGATTTAGATGTATTGATAATAGTATGCCTGAATAATGTCTGTGTCTATGCCTATGTCTGACAAATATTTCATAATTTAAATAACTGTTATATTACAATTTATATACAATTGTAGTCTGATGATTAAGTTTCGAAATAATCTTTTCTCTTAATGTTTGTCTTCCTCAGATAGCGAACACTTCTGAGCAAAATCTCCAAATAGCAATAGGAACAACTTCTACAGGTATGTGTACTTTTCTCTGCATCTCCAAGCATCATAAGAAATTACTGTGTAATTGACTGGGACGGAACCAATGTGATAGACAGGACAGTAGATGCATATGATAGGTAAAGGAAGCTGTATGGATCAGGAAATCTACTCCTGTTATGACTTACAAACGTCGCAGACACATTTGGTACTGCATTCTTAAGAAAGTAGATTAATTGTTACTTTGTTTTTCACTTGACAACAATCTTTCTGACAGAGCGAAGAGCCAATGTGGTTTATGCAGATACCCTGACGCACCTTTTTGAAGGGATAGCCAGACTAGTGGAGACCCATCAACCCCTAGTGGAGACTTACTATGGTATGGCTTTAGTCAAGTTTGTTTTATATTCACCTCCATGAAGAATGGAGGACATTGTTTTTGGTATATCTGTGAGTGTGTGAGTGTCTCTCTGTGTGTGTGCCTGTGTTTCCATGTGGCAGTTAAGTCCGATTGTAATGGATATGGTTGGGTTCAGTCAGTCTCAGATGTCATGTCGGCATCTGGTAGCGCTAGCTGTTTACACGTGTGTTTTTTCATCACATGACCTCCTTGACAGCTGACAATTGGTTTCCCTTGCATGATAAAGACTTGTAGACACCATGGTGAATGAAAAGAGGACACAATCGCCATCACGCAAGACCTAGAAATATTTCCTGGAGGTCTGAGATCTCTGTATTCTTGTTTATTTTCCCTCCTTGCAGGTCCAGGTCGGATGTTGACCCTGATGACAGAGTTACAGAAGGAATGTGACAGACAGGCCAGGAGAGTGGTGGACGCTTTCATCAAGAACAGGGCTTACCAGAAAAAGGTGAGAAATATTAGCCTGGGTGCCAGCCCTGTGTGGTTTTAGTATGCTGTCTTTGTCACTTTTCCTCCCAGGGAGTCAGGGACCCATCTAATGTTAATGTCATCTACTCCATATTAGGCACAGCAAGTCCAGCAGTGCATGATGGGAAGGACAGCCACAGAGAAGTAAGTATAACATTTACAAGCATGTTGGCAGAACGTAACGCGCCTGCGCAAAACTGGGATTTCTCACGGGTTTCGTTGGATTGCACCAGAATTTTTCACATTGCGGATGATATCTTTTCTGACATGACATTTGAAAACTACAGATGGGGTGTACATAATACTTGGGTGTCCAAAAAAGAAAATCACCACAACAAAGCAAGCTGGTGTGTTACGCCAAAGGGCGTTATACCAGCTATATTGATACAAAAAAGGGAATCTGTGATTTTGTTTTGTTAAGTTGGCATAAAGCATTATCTGTGTGTCCTTCCAGACCTGATCCAAAAGAGCTGGACACCTTGTTAGCAGAAGTTACTCTGATCAATTCAAGAGCAGAACTTTACCTTAGATTTTTCAGGAGAAGAGTCACTGTAAGTATAGGTCTTCTACAATTCCATGCATCAAAATATCAAAATACCATTTTTTGTTTCATAACATAATTTTTGCATTCTTAGAGTACTCTTTAACAATTCTCTAACTTTTTTTTCATCTTCAATTTTACAGGCTGACTTTGAAGTCCAATATCAAGAAGAAGAACAAAGAAAAGGTAATCTTTGCCTTTAATGTTTGAAGTAAGACAAACCAACCTGCAGTACTTCATCATGGTGCTAGGTGTCTCTTGTGACTGTGTGCTAAGTTTGCCCATGTTCCCTCCCATGCAGACAAGCTGACAGAGTTGGACAGACTGGTGCGGACCTGTGGCCTGAGTCTGTGTGTACAGGAGCTGACTGGAGATTACATCCTTATGGAAGAATACTTCCTCAGGGAAATGATTATGAAGGTCAGCTCTAAATTTAGGAGAAGGGCAGGGCTCTAGGCTGCTCAAATTTGTTTTTTCCATCAGCATCAGTGTATTTTTACATGCAAATCTTGAAAACCACACTTCAGATTGCAAGTTGCATTGAGTATTTTAAACTCAGTAAAAGGGCTAACTACACAGTATCCTGTTACTGAGGTATGATGCAGTTTCTGTTGTCTGGGCAGTTTCTGTCTCTGTGCTGTAAGTGTAATGATTGTGTTTTGCGTGGTTTCTGTGCTAGGCTGTGAGTATGGACATCATGGAAGATGCCTCCTTGACATCAAGTATGGTGGATGATGTCTTCTTCATCCTCAAGAAATGTATCAAGTAAGTCAAATTATTTCCAAAATAGTTTCATCAGGTTGGTTAAGTATAGGATACAGGAGTTTTCTTTTACACAACCAAGATTTCTCACCTAAGTGCTTAGGTTTCAGTCAGAAGCTCTGAGGAGGGTGTCTGATAGACACTGAAACCTAAGCACTTAGGCACTTAGGTGAGAAATTTTGGTTGTGTAAAAGAAAACTCCTGTATCCGAGTCACGTGACTGCCCTTGTCAGTAGCTGAAGAAAGATATGGTGGATGCCATCTGCAGAGCTTCTACGCTTTACAGAACTTAAGTCGTGCGTAACAGTTTAATCCTTCCTTAGTTTGTACTCTGAAATCTCTGCTTTCTTTGTTTAACCGGGAGAGCGATGTCTAGTTCTAACGTTGACTTGTGGCTTGAGTCTGTGTGTACAGGAGCTGCAGTACTTTATCATGATGCTAGGTGTCTCTTGTGACTCTATGAATGTTGCTTGCTTGTTTTGCCAGGAGAGCGATGTCCAGTTCTAACGTAGACCTGGTGTGTGCGATGTTGAACCATGCCACGACCATCCTGGAGCAGGACTTCTGTGAGGTCCTGTACGGCCGGCTGAGGCAGGGCTTCCCCTCCGGATTCCTGGACTTCACCCAGGCCGTCAACCTCATGCAGTCCACCATCCAGCAGAGGAAGATCGCCTCTGAGAGCACAGAGGACACCAAAACAGCTTTCCTGGTAAGGCCAGCAGTTCATCATCATTTACAATTTCTGAATACTACTGGAAATCACTTTATGTTCGCAGTAGCATGGCCTGAGAAAAATGGACATGTTTGCGGAACTATATGTTTGTAGTGGCGGCAGGTGCAGCAACAAGAAAGTTGGCGAGTGCAAAAAAAATGTTTGGCCAATAAAAGTTGCCTTCATTATGAAAGCTAGATTTTGTATGTGGTCACGAAAGTTGCACAAATGGCTAAACACACAGAAATGGACAAAAGTCCATGCGTGCACGGATGTCATCCATATATTCAAATCAACATGGCCTTAGCTTCAACATCTGCCTTTCTTCATTGCTTATTTTTCAGACAACATTGAACAATGCAGAAGCCTGCAGTGAGAATATCTTGCTGTTAAAAGCAAGCTTAGAGGTAAGCAAGAAATCTTCATTGTAATCAATACTGTAACAGTTATATTTACTATATTGATATAGCATGATTACTAAAATCAATGTGTTATTGCCAAGATCTTCCCATGAAATGGACCAATGGGTCTGTCAGAAACAATGAAGCACTAGTAAAGTACAATGCCCTTCTCCATGCTTTCCCAACTCTTGGCTGAAAGTTTATGTTTGAATTTTGACCGAATTGTACATATTTTTGTTTTCTAACAGGACGAATGTGCCAGACATTTTCCACTAGCTGGAGAGCAGGGAAAGGCCAAGCTCGATGTATGTTACATAATTATCAATAATTCAAAGTTTTTGTATAAATACATTTGTACCTGTCATCACAGATCTCTTTTGTCTCTGACAAAAAGTAGTGGATGCTACTTGAAATATCTGACCGTTTATAAAAAATACTAGTATCTAGTTGCCTTAATTAACTGTTAGTAATACTCACTACCTGGATGTCATGTTTTGATTGCACAAAGAATGTGAGTTGAACAGATGTGTTTTTTCTGCAGAGCTGCCTGAGTGATCTGGCATCACTGTCTCACAGGTTCAAGAACATGCTACAGGTCAGTTGTTATGCACTTTGGGGTACAAAAGTATTGTTTTGGGTGGCTGACATTGTGTCCTTGGAAAAGGCACTTTACACAACTTTCCTCACTTCACTCCCTTGAAAATCAGTACCTAGCTTCGGTTAGAGACGTCCCTCGGTAGGACGTTCAATGGAAGCTCTGGTGTGCGATGGTGTAAATTCTACAGTCTGGAGTTGGTGATTCACTACAAATCACCCGGACAGAGGCCTAGCGAACCCCTGTGTTAGTCTCAAAGTTAGCCATTGATAACAGCCCTGTGCTAGTTGGGCAGCCTTGACCGTATCTTCAGCCTAACAAATAAATGTCTGTTGTTTCAGGAGGGTTTGGCAGAGCTGGATAGTTCAGCCATCAAGCCGCAGGTGAAGCCGTGGGTGGCCACCTTCCACTCCTTCAGTCACAACATCTCTGAGGTGAGAGCCAGGCCAGTATCTATTCTAATCAGTGCTCTATACAGTCAGCTCCAAATTTTTTCCACAAAACCCACACATCATGGAAAAAGGGGGACATTATGTCTTCTGAAGAGTACACAGAAGAATGTCTCTGTTACCTGCATTAAGCCCATGGGCATGAACCTGCAACAAACTTAATTTATTCAAACTCTTCAAAGCTCAAAATTTATTAGTGATTTGTCATTCTGAAGCAGGTTTGAACTGTAATTTCCATGCAGATCTTTTTGTGGCTAGAAGACAATACCCAATGCCAAGACAGGATCAGATTGGCAGGGCAGCATCCAAAAGGCCATAGGTGAAAAAAGACATTGTTACAAAAGCCAGATAAAAGCACTTATTATATAAATAAGAAGACGTTAAAGAGCCGAAGTCTAAAGTGCTTGTAGAGTACTGTTCATTTACTCCAGTCTTTATCATCATTGGTTTATTATTATTCACAATAAAAACGGCCTTGCAGTAGTAACTGAATTGCACCGTTCCATTACAAACATTTTAAAAGGAAATTCCGACAGATTAAAATATATACAGGTTAAAATAGACAATGAACTAGCAGTAAAGTGCAACATCGTTCGAGCTATTGTCGACGTCGACAGGAAGGGTTCGACAAGGATATAATCATAGTATTCCATTTACACACTAACAAGGAGTTTTGCCAGCGAGGGTTTTGCGCTAGTAACGTATCGCTTAGTTCCGCTGGCTTGATGGTAATGTGAAGAGTTCCGTAAGTGTCTACCGTGCTGCTGGCCTCGGGTCTGTGGTAGCCAGGAGCAGAACCGCGGCGACTGTCTGGCTTTGATGGCGAAGTTGTAGCACAAGTCACGTCTGCGAGTAGCAAGTGATTGTAGGTTAAGGTGCTGCAAAGCGTCCCGGTAAGATGTGTACCTACGGCCCAGGATGATCCTACACGCTCTGGTTTGTACTCTTTCCAGCTTAGTGATTTGTTTGTTGTTGAGGGCGGCATTCCAGGCAGGAGCTGCATATTCGAGAAGAGGTCTAATGTAGCCACAGTAGATGGTAGTTAGGTCGTTAGCTGGGAGGCCCGCACGGCGCAGTCTACACAGAAGGAATAGACGCTTGCTGCTCTTGGTGACCATACTGTCGACCTGTGCATCCCATCGGAGGTCGGAACGAATCTGCAAACCGAGTAGTTTGGCCTGGGTCACTACAGAAAGCAGTTGTCCCCCCAGTGTGAGGACAGGGAACGGTGGTGGTTGTTGCACAAAACAGATATGCATGACCTTACACTTTTTGGGATTCAATTGCATATAGTTCTTGTGAGACCATTCGTCCAGGCCATCCAAGTCTTGCTGTAGAGTAGAGGGTGCACTGACCTTTCGACTTTCTCCCAAGTTAAGGTCGTCAACATACTTCCAGTAAGCGTTGTGCGGTGTGCCGGCATCGTTGATCATAGCCGTGAAAATCAGGGGACCTACCAGGGTCCCCTGAGCCACTCCACAGGTAAGGTGTTCCCAGTGTGACAGGGCATGTTGGTAGCGGACCCGTTGTCTTCGGTGTGAAATAAAACTGCACACCCATGGAAGCAGTGAGGGCCGTGCTCCCATCTGCAGGAGTTTTGTGACAGCGGTTGTATGGCACACTCTATCGTACGCTTTACTGAAGTCTGTGAGCACAAGGCTACTGATGGATTGTCTCATCTCTGCTCCTTTGTAGAAGAAGTCGAGAATTTCTATCAAGCAGTGTGTAGTAGAAATTCCCCTGAGGTTTCCAAACTGGTTGGGATCAACCGCTGGTAGGATATCTTGGAGGAGCCATGACAGAACAAAACCCTCCACTACCTTAGCAAACTGTGATGTCAACGACACTGGTCTGATTTTATCTAGGTCCGCAGGTTGCTCCTTCGGGACTGGAATAACGGTCGCGTCCCTCCACTCGGGTGGTACTCGGCCCTGCCGCAAAGAAGTATTTGTGATGTCGGTGAGAGGTGTGGCAAGTTCGAAGGCAAACTCCTTGATGAGGGTTGGTGGGATGTCGTCAGGACCGGGTGCTTTAGATGCTTTAATCCTCTTAAGGCGATGATACATCTGCCACTCATCAATCTGAGGGGGCTTGGTGCCCGGCAAGGAAAGTTGGGAGGTTGTTGAGATCAAGTGGAGGCAGTGCCTGGCGGATGGACGCTAGGTGAGTATTGATGGCACCAGCAACGGCATTTTTATCTGTCTGGTCCACCCCTGGCACGTGGACAACAATGGGAGGTTTGGAGAGATTTGCTAGGCGTCTTACCTCTTTGTGCCATTCGGATGGATTAGATTTCTTCAGCCTCTCGACATGGTCTCTGTAGTACACTTTCTTGGAAAGTTTGCAGTCACGGACAATCTTGTTCCTTAGGAATCGGTAGAGCACCATGTGGCCTTTGTGGTAAGCTTGCTGCCTCTTGTTTATCAGGTTTTTGAGCGATGATGCCATCCACGGCTTGTCGTTGTGATGCAACTTACGTTTCTTTTGTGGAAAGTGCTTGTCAATGGCAGAGTTCAGTGAATGGTAGAATGCAGACGTCTTGTCTTCGACTGTGTCGCATTGCAGAACTTCTTGCCAAGAGTGTGAAGTAATCCACTGCCCGAACTCTCTGAGTCTGGAATCTGGCATCGGGCGTACTACCATGAGCTTGGTCGTGTTTGGTGTCTTAAGACGAGTTGCTGATTGCCACCATACCGCTCTGTGGTCACTAGTACCTATCGGGTTTGTGACCACTGGGGTTTTGTAGTATGACTTCAGGTTTGTAATTATGACATCCAGCGTCGCGTCCCCTCGTGTTGGGGAGTTGACCACCTGTTCAAGCCGATGTGACCTGACGAGGGGCGTGTGATCCAACCTGTTGTAGTCCCCAGCGAATATGAAACCAACGTCAGGCTGGAGCGTTTTCAACAGGTCAGCCGTGTTCACAAGATGGTCTATAAGGAGCTGTTGGTGGTTTGAGTTTGGTGGGTTGTAGGTGGCACACACTGCGATCGATGGTACCTGTCGCGGGAGTCGGTTGGGACGTACCCAAACCCAAACACACTCGAGCTCGGGGGGTACCGAGACTTGAGGAATAGCCCTTGCGTGTAGGTCCTCCCGGGTGTAGACAGCTACCAGTCTTTGTCCAAGGTTCACTCCTTGACAAAGACTGAAGTTGAACACTTCGGGTAAATCCAATTGTTGAGTTGGAAATTACAGTTCAAACCTGCACAGGACCATTGTATCCTAATTATCTCCTTTCATAACAAATTTGAATGGAAAGACTTAAAGGTTTATCTCGTTATCTGTACATAATAGCAGATGATGAAGTGTTGAAGTGGGCAGCACTTTTGGGAGCACAAAAGGTCATGTGCTTCTCAGGTTACACATAAGAAATGCTGAAAATAAAGTACTGATGTTGCTTTGAAAGAGGCACAACTTGACAGAGTTATCGATACAAGTTAGAGTTAAATTATTGTGGATAGAGTACAAAGGTTAGAGGATTTTGTAAATGCATGGTCTACAAGATGGAGCTGTATTATTCAGTTTACACAAAATGTTTCACACACATTATCACACTTCATAATGACAATGAAGATTATTGCATATTCATGCCCAATTGGGGCTAAATATACTAGTAGCTGAATTATCTACTGGTACAAATAAGTGTAAGTAATAGGGAAACTATATGTTGTATCCATAATACATGTACTATGTAGGAATACATGATTTACACGATTCCCTTCTAGAAACATTTGTAGACAAATGTATGGCTATGTTTTCTTCAGGAGGAGTTTACCAACTATGAGGCCAACGACCCCTTCATTGAAAACTTTGTAGTCAACCTGCAATCACTGTTGGACTCTTTCAAGGTAAGTGTCGGCAGTTTTGAACAAATTCTTGTCTTTGTCAATCCAGCACCCTTGTCATGTTGTGACATACATGTACATGTATTATGTTTTATGACCTATAATTGTCAACCAGTGCCTCCATCTTGCTATCCCAGGGTTCCTTGAGTCCCAGCATCTATGATCAGCTGATCAGCCATCTGACCAATCAGGTGACACATCAGTTGGAGAGGGCAGTGATGAAGACAGTATTCAACAGGGTGAGTTGTGTTTGGAACATAATGTTATCTCTAGACTTCTAGTTTGTATTCTTCTATTTCATGATAGTATCTCAATTTGTACTTTATTCACTGATAATATAATTCACTGATAATATTAAATGTAGTTTTAACATATTAGTTGTAAGTGTAATCATGATTAGAAAAACTCACTTGTTATAATTCTGAGCAAACGTCAATTTCATTTGAATCAAGTATTTGTTTAACCCCCCATTTGACCCTCTGCCAGGTGAACTGCTTTCCATGCCTTAGTTGTTCCAGAGTTTGTTATAAGCATAGTTCTGTCATCTAGATTGGCACACACCCACTGTATTTGACAATAATGTCAAGCCATGCAAACACTTGACTTAACGACACCTCCATACCTCTTTATGCCTGCCCTTTGGACCCATTTGTGGTTCATAACCGATTCAGAACTTCAGATGATTTACTGTATTGTGAGTTGTTAATGGGGTTGTATTTTAGAGACATTGGTGTCTGATGTTTGCTAGCTGAATGCTGAAGTGTTTGTAGAGGGTTGTGGTCGATGTGTTTTGGCCCTGCGTATCGGTTATTGGCTTGTTTGAGTGCAAACATTGTCACTCAATTACCTGTAATGGGGCAGTGGGATCGGGGAAGATTGACATGTATAATGACAGGTTAAAAGGGGAGACTCAGGGAATAGAGTGGACTTAAAGGCACCCAGTGCTGTTTTTAGGGCTTGGAAACCATACTGTTGAAACAACACTGTTCCAATGTATATCGACCCTCATGGAGCAAGATTTCCCAAAATTCTGATAGAAAATGGTTACTGGAAGGCCCCTGGGCTGATTTTTAGGGTACCACCCATAAAATAAAGGACTCATCTTGGAGCTTGTTTCTGCAGTCTTAGTTGCAATGGAGTAGTGTTGCTTCAACTTACTCAGAGATATGACCAGAAAATTGATATGTTGTATCATCCTAATGTTACACAATACATCTTTAACCCTAAACAGTACACCTGGGGTCCGCCCCCAGTATTATATATTCTGTAATATTTTTCTTTGTTTCTTAAGATTTTTTTCTGAAATTTCAGGTAATTGTAACCTACAAAGTTGTCCCTCAATACAGTACAAAAAAACTCAGTTTCTTCCATTTCTAAAAATTTTTATATCTGATTTTCTTTTGGGGTCCGCGCGGAACCCAGGTGTACAGATTAATCAGTCCGGGAAGGTGTACTGTTGAGGGTTAAGTCTTCCTTGTTCCTCCTGTACCTTACAGCTGGGAGGACTCCAGTTTGACAAAGAGCTGCGAGCCCTGGTGGGGTACCTGACCTCGGTCACACAGTGGACCATCAGGGACAAGTTTGCACGGCTTACCCAGATGGCAACTATTCTCAACATGGAGAGGGTGGGCGGATTTTACCTGCTTTCTAATCTGTCTTTCACCAGCCTCGTTTTGTAGTATTGTTGTATTACTGCCATACATTGTACCTTGTACAATTGTTGACCAATAAAGTTCATTGATTTATATGTAAATTTATGAAGGGTCAGATTCAATGTTATTTTTTTTCACAGTAAAGAGGTCCATACATAGCCTGGGTGCCATCTTATTTTTATGCTATACTCTGTGAGTATGGGAGCCCCGGCATACAAATAGGATGGCACCCAGGCGAGTCCATGCATTGAGTCCCAAAGACATGACCATAGTACAAATGTATGAGAAAAAGCAGTCATTATGGCGAGATAGCCGGCTAATAGACGTGATCACTTGGACAAGTTTGACTGTACATTGTGTAACTGTGAGACTCTCTTATATTCTAACCACACTCCTGCTGTACTTATCACAGTAGTACAAGCCAGCAGAAAGAGGGTTAACCGACAGCTGTGTATCCCTTATTTAGGTTGGTGAGATTCTGGACTACTGGGGTCCCAACTCGGGACCTTTGACCTGGAGATTGACCCCTGCGGAGGTCAGACAGGTGCTGGCCCTCAGGGTGGACTTCAGAAGTGAAGACATCACCAGACTCAAACTCTGATGTTTACACAAGAGGAGACTTAAGTCATTTTTAGAGATTGTTAGTCATTACAGAGATATTATCATACTGGAAAATTATTGATGCAATCAGGTGTTGCAGGGATTTCTTATGTATGCACGGACACTACATGTAATACAGATCTCCAATAACTTCCTATTATAGTAGTACAATGTATTGTAGATATCTGCTGAAGTACATTTTGTAGTCAAATGCTAGGACTATTATTTCTTGGACATATTTCAGTAGTAGTGCATATTTTGATAGTATTTGCTATCAAGTGACTATCCATGATGGATTGCCATTGTATGAAAATAACTCACATAACTAAGTTCCATGGTGACAGATGTACATTTGGTGTGGTGTACATGTAGCACCCATGAGGTGCTATGGGTTAATGCTGGGGTTGCCCTAGATTAGGTACATACATTGTATATGCAAAAATAGGACTATTATATAATAGAACATGTATCATGTTTATTAAATTGTAATGCATCAATGCATTGTAAAGACAAGTGTACAGAAAAGCACTTGTTACAAGTGATACAAGAGTTGAAGTACAGTCTTGTTGCACAAGTTCAAGGGGAACATGTACCTAAATTTAAGTGTATATTATGTATTATGTACTACCTTCAGAGATGTACATATGAATTGTAAAGAGGATATGTATAAAAAAAACAAAGTGTACTATGATTATTAACTGTCTCCTGATTTGCTTCCAATGTAGAACTTTTGAAGAATTTACAAACGTATAGTGATAATATCTTTTAACAAGACAGATATTTGATATTTTACAACAGCTTCACACCTTAAATAAACAACTAATAATAGATTGGTCAATAAGAGGATCCACAATTAAGGCTGCGCATGTGCACTACGGTGCATTGTGGGTGATATGTCAAAGTTGAAGCTTCCATAGATGTAAACAGAAGACGTTTGAACATGATTAAAGCGTCTGTCGTGTTTTCTTTACGTTTACGGGGCATGTGCAGTCGTACTTGTGCACCTCCTTACTAGTATTTGAATTATATATTTACACTATATATATCATTAATAAGTCATGACCATTTAAGTCCTTGCTGCCGCCATCAGAAAGCGGCGTCTTTCCATCTCAAGACGCTTCTTTTCCTCGTTCAGGTTTTCCTGAGCTTTTCTGACCAGCCACAGTTCGAAGGACCGCTGGCTCTTTCTCTTCCGCTCCTCGTCGTTCGCCCTCTCCTGACGCTCCTGCTGCGCCATGGCGACAAACTCCACAATCCTGTCCTGTTCTTTCTGTTCCTTCCAGTTCCTGAAGGTCACGCCACGTCTCATGTTTCTGAAGCGGCGCTCGCTTTCTTTACTTTGTGCCCTCCGACTTTCTGCCTCGAATTTCTCGTACTCCCGCTGGTTTTCCTCCGCCTTATGCTTCAGCCATTCTCGAAAGTTCTTGTCCACCACGCCTTTCCTTTGTTCGAACGCTTTTTTCTGAAGTTCGGCCTTGTTGGCCTCTAGCAGCCTTTTTGTTAACGTTTCCTCTTGGAGCTTTCTGGTCAGCCACTCGTCGTACGTGAGCCCGCCTGTGAAGGTTTTCTTCCGTGCGGTTTTCTCGTCTTCGGCGGTAGGACGCCGTGATTCGGCGGAGGGGAAGGCCCCCTGTTCGGCTTTCTGAAGCAGCCACTCGTCGTGAGACATTCCGTCGATAATTTTCGGGCGCGTCTCCTGTGCACCTCTATCGGCAGGCTGTTTAGAATCGCTATTTGACTTTGCGCTTGTTTCTCTTTTTTCTTTCTTAGCTTGCTGTCTTTTTGCCTTCAGCCATTGCTCAAACGCGTTTTGGTTCTCCTTCGCTTCAGCGCTAGAGGACTGGTCCGTGGCATCTTCGCGCGTCTCTTGGTCTTTAGTCCTCAGCCATCTCTGATACGCCTCTACGTTCCGCCGCCGTCTTTCCTCCATCTCCGGTCTCTCCCGCCGTCCCTGCTTCTGACGAGCCTTCATCAGAATCCACGACTCCAGCGTCTTGGCCCGCGGCAGGATCCCAGAAGCGGGTTTGCGCGGGAGGAACATCTTGTCGTCTGCCGACAGAGAGCGCTGGCGAACGGGGCGCTGTGGGGCATTCACTTGGCGGTCTTGGCTTTCCGTCTGCGTGCCGTTTTGATTTTTAAGCGTCACAGTCGGTTTCTCTAGATCCCACTTTACGCCGTTGATCTGCAATTTCGGAACGTCGTCTGTGGAGGTATCAGGACTCGGAACTGTCTGCAGTGCTGAGAAACCTTCATCCGAGCACTGCGTCCCCTTTGTGTTGGAACCGGGTCTGTCCTTGCTCGGAGAATCTTCAAATGTGTTATCAACGTCGATCTGATACTCCCTCTGTTTCACAAAGTTTGTCGTCGCCTCTTCGCTCGGTTTACTGACGTGTGTATCATCGTCGTCGCCGTCGACTGTTTCTGTCTTGTCCATGGTGTCCCTGCCGCTGTCTTCACTGTTGACGCTGTCGGGTTTGTGGTTGGTTTCCTCAGGAGGCTTCGCGAGGTCCGGGATGTCGTCGTCTCCGATAGCGGCGTCCACAGCTTCATCGTCGCTGCACAGAGACGGCGGCGGGACCGAGTGACACCTCGTGGTGGGACGCTGCTGGTAGTACTCCATCTCAGGCATCATGACGTGCAGCTGTTTCGCGCCCACGGAGAACGTTCCCGGGTACACGAAGTGTTTACTGGGGGTTCGCTGAGGGCTGGGTGGCTTCCTGGTGTCGTTGCGCAGTCTACACCTCGCACACCGCGAGTTCTCTCCCGTTCGCGGTCTTCTGAGCTGTTGCTGTCGTTTCTCTCTTGTCACAAGATCCGAGTCGTCTGCAGGTACAGGTGTGGAGGGTTGAGACAGAGACACGACGTGGATCAACCTCTCGATGTCCTCGTCATCCACGTTGAAGTCGTCCTGATGAGGGTCGCAGTTCTCGACAGGCGTGTACGAGGCGTGTGTCTGGCAGTGTCTGTGGTACAGCGAGGAGGTGGACCGGCTCGCGCTGCTTCTGGACTTCCTCTTACCGTCCTCGCTGCCGGCGCTCACCCGGGGGGAGGGGAGGGTAGACGCCCGGCAGACATCGGGAAACGACTTGTCCCCGAGGAGCGCCGTGCCGGGGCGAATACGCCCGTAGCGGACACCCTTGACTGGCGCGCTCATGCTCGGTAGCTGGACGCTCTTCTGCGGTGCTTGCGGCGTTGGGAGGCTGTTTGACCAGGTACTGGCGCTCCCGATATGTTGAGCACGCAGAGGAGACGGTTTCAAGACTCGGCGTACGGCGTGTCGGGGTTTCTCTCCTTGTACGTGGATGAATCCCAGCGTGCTGACTGATGCTGTACTCAGGCTGACGTCCTGTCCGTTCGACCCGTGCCCAGACGCGTGACTGGAAGTGTCTGTGTCCGCGGTGACCGCCTTAGCGGCCCGCAGGTTCCACTGGTGCAGCCACAGCCTCCGCTCGCACTCCCGCCGCCCGAACTGCCCGGACAGTTCCAGAGGGGTCTTGCCGTACATGTCCCGCGCGCCGGCGTCCACGCCCTGGTCGAGAAGAGCGTTCAGCACGTCCAGGTGTCCCTGTGCCGCGGCGGCGTGTAGAGGCGTCCGGCCGGAAGGCGTCCTACCCACCGGGTCAGCACCTGTAAGGGACCGACAAATAAAAAATCATGAATGATGGCCACTGACAGAAGAAAACAACAACAACAACGACAGAAAACTGAGAGGGATGGAGAAAACTGCTGGTCAGATAACATTTTGGTGCCCCAACGGCCAAATAATTAGACTAACGGACAAACGTGTCCAGCTTCGAAGGCGTTCTACCCACCGGGTACGCACCTGTACAGAACCGACAAATGAAACATTATGATGGCCCCTGACAGAAAACAACAACAACAGAAAACCAAGAAGAGTAGATAAAACTAGGACTAGTGGTCGGATCATCAGTGATTCCCCAATGGTCAAATATTGAAACCGAATTGAGATGAGGTCTCTGACAGATTGATACTGAACATCATTTGGTTCAAAAACACACAGGACACTAGGGAGATATATTGAGCCATGGGGAATACTAGTAGTTGCTTGATGTACCGTTGAACCAGCACGGTGTATCGAAAATTCGACTCAAAACAAAGCGTCAAAATGATGAAATACTTTGATGGGTTTTAGAAGCAATTTGTACCCATAATTAGACATACGGAGGCCTGCTACTGACGCATGCCGGTCTAGTTTCTGTAATCCGATTAAAGCGTAATGTCATGGCACCGAGTGTAGGTAAACATTCTCTCTTTGTCGCCGTTTCAAAGACGGAACAATCCGCTGTTGACTGTAAACAGTTCTTATCGAGAATGGGTAACCTCAGACAGATTGGGTAGTTGATGGAAGCCCACTTTAATTGTGACCTGATACGGACGATGGGGCCATCTCAATGTACAGGGGATTTTGATACAGCGCGATTTTGATGCCGCCGTGAGTGAGTGAGTGAGTGAGTGAGTGAGTGAGTGAGTGAGTGAGTGAGTGAATGAGTGAGCGAGTGAGTGAGTGAGTGAGTGAGCGAGTGAGCGAGTGAGTGAGTGAGTGAATGAGTGAGTGAGTGAGAGGGTGAATAAGTGAGGGTGAGTGAGAGTGAATGAGTGAGAGGGTGAGTGATTTAGTCTTAGTTTTTTTTAATACTAGTATGTTTATGTGGGTCATGTATGTATAGTACTTTTATCTTATACTGAAAGCCTTAAAAAAATTTCAAAAAGTGTGGCGTGCGGAAACCTATCTGATATTGAGGCCGACATTTACTGCCATTTCATATCACATTTTCGTCATATTTTTGGGTGCCGCCAAAAAATAGCAAGAACGAGTGGCCTATGATACAAAACAAGCAACCGTCAGTTGCATTTTTGCCACACAGGTATCCGTATACTATAGGATAATGTCGATTCAATTTTGTTTTACTGTACAGTGACTTGACATTGCATTGGATGCCCCCTTTTTAGTATAAACTACCAGTATATTGGCTATTGAGACTCTCACTTTTTCCGCTTGGCGTGAGAACTTTCTCCAAAGTTCAGGTGTTTCGCCGACCCAGTCTTCCGCTGAGTCACAACACAAAGTTACAAGCCTATTGATTGGTAGTGACCTGGAAAGTCGATAGTCGAGTGACTGAAAGATGAGCTACGAAACGAGCAGTATTAAAACGTTTCCAAAGCTTCAAACTTAAACAGTCTTTTCTTTAACGTGCAGTCGTCTGCATCCAGGTGAAAGTTAGCCTGGTATCCAGTCCTCAGTGATGGTGGTTTGGGCGGACTCCCTTCGGGCCTCAGACGATCCCCACCGACCACTTCAACTAGGCTCCTGGTAGAAGTTTTACTCCCGTAGTAGTTTTGCACGATAAGAGTTGAACTTCGAATCCGTCGTGCAAAACCTGCCGGGAGCCTTGTTAAACTGAGCGGTAGGAATCGTTCTACAGGCCGCCCAAACGACGGTAGGACCGGGCACCAGGCTAAGTCAAAAGTTGGCTGGTGCCAGCTAGCAACCGTCGCGAGGCAAAAATACACGTCATGGGAAATCGATTAATTGGAGTTACGACATACCGGGACTTACGGAACAACAAAGACCGGTGTTAGTTAGTATTAACAAGGTCGCGGAACTGGCGGCACAAAAGGAGCTCAAATAAACGACTACACTTCGCCTGACTACCGGGGTTCTAAATGCCACATTGATGGCGTTGTGCTGAATACAGGGTCGGGCGACTTTTGGTTCATTACGCTGGACCTTTTCTTCCGAACAATCGCTCTGTAGTGCGCGATACCGTACCCAGTTGCCTTGGTACTGAATGTTTATTATGCTGGCGACGTGCACCTGCATTGGTCAATGTCCTTGCATAAAAGAAACACGCTTAGTTTAAGGCCTTCGCCAGGCCATTCTGACAGAGTTAAGATAGTATAATTCGGCACAAGTTGGGTCTGACTGGCCAGGAGAGTGGGTCCACTGTTAAGGTTTCATTTACAAGTATCGCGCGAAATTCATCCATCTTGTCACCTGAAAAACGCAATCTTAGAGTCTTGTCGGCGGTCGGTTGTGTCACAGTCTGCCTGAAAATTCTACTACATCAAAATCTTACGACGTCCTACGGCGAATAGAAACCTCGCCGTTACCACAGACTTAGTAAAATGCCAGGGTGGATGTTTTCTGTAAACAAAGTAGTAGAAAGACATGGCGAACTTTATGAAAGCCGACCTACATATATCATGTTAAAGGCACATCCACTCACAAGTACATTATCCGTGACACACATTTCCAAAAACGTTCTTTCATTATCATGTGTACGTTTCGTGCAAGACCAAACGACACTTGGCCGATACTACATTCTACAACGGCAGATCCTCTCGGTCTAAAACCCAAAATCATTAACTTAAACACTACGGTTTGCCGGCTGCATTTGCCCAGTGTCATGATACTCTGGTATTTACAAAACAAGTCAAACACTGCACTGACACAGCCAGGAGTTGTGTGCGCTTCTAGGCTGGAGTAAATGTACCCCCGTCTCTTTGTGGCCAAGCCACGAGTAAAACAGGCCATGTTTCTTTTTTTTCCGCGGTATCTTCACCGGGTACTAGGTTTGCTTGTAGCAGGGATTTTTGTAGACATTTTGTACCTACATATTTCTAAATAAAGATCAACGGAAAACATAGCGACGAGTGGATTTTCTAACGTTTGGATATGAATCAAGGCATAACAGATGGACAACTGTGAATTCTACAAACGTAACCAAATCAAGTCTAAAGATTTAGAAGGAGGGTCAAAGTGTGTGACGGTAGAGTAGGTTTACAGTTGAGTAATCACAGAGATTTGCCATGTTTAAGGAACAGCGTACAACAACGGATTAAATATAAAAACATTGACACTCACCAATGGAGAGTAGAACTTTGCACAGCACGTAATGCCCTCTGTGACAGGCCAGGAAAAGGGATACGAAGGCTCTCTTGGCTACTATCCTGTGCATGGCGACCGCTTCCCCCTCGCTGAAGCCGGCCTCACTGATGAGTTGTACACCTCCGCTGTAGTACGTGTCGTCGATGTTTCCGTTCCAAGTGGAGTAGAAGAGTCCGTTCCAACTGGTGAAGAGCTGCATTCGCAGCGTGGCCCCGTTCATGATGGTCATGCCTATCCTGAGTTCGTTCTCGTCCTCCAGGTCCACGTCGTTGGTGTAGTGTAGGGTGTAGATCTGGCTGGGAATGCCCGTCACGATCTCGATCCTCGCCTTCAGGTCGTACACGGAGATGCCCGACGGAAGGTCGCGAAACCCCGCGACGTCGTCGTTGGGAAGCCGGACGAAGACCGTACAGAGCTCCGAGGACGTGTCCTGTGACGCCCCGGTCCTGGCACTGGGGGTACGCGACGGCTGCGGCTTGCCTTCCATCTTGTCCCTCTTGGTTTAAGGTCAAACTTTAGTTGTCCCAGAACTGGGCATCGTCGGTTCGATACTGTTTCCCTTCCGTATTCTCCCCCATGTCTGCGTAAACGGTTTATACTACAACCTCGCTGAACCGAAGCCGCACTTTAAATCAAATGTCAGCAGCAAGTCTTACGTTGGCTCCATAAGGTAGGTTGAAACTGTCGAGGGTATACAACACGGCGTGGCAGTGGAGCGGAGAGTTGGCGATTCTTTACGGTGAAACGTGACCGCGGTTGTAACTAACTCTCGTCGCGGGCTGCAGGGCGTGCAAGGCTGAGAAAACACTCTGGCGACGTGCGATCGCCAACCGGCAGACGTTACCACTGGGAACCCGGGGTCGGCTCGGGAACACGAGTGTTTGCACAGTCATTTATCAGGAGAAAGAGAGACCTTTCACCGCACTCTAACGCTTGCAGTTGCGCCCGGGTGCGTGCCACGGTGGTGAACGCAAAGCTCCCAAGTCTCATAGTCTCCCGACGTTGTCCCGATGTTGAATGACGTTCCCGTTTCGGACACCACACATCACACCAAAGCATTCTCCTCTCCCAATTGGGCGTATAAGACCTTGTATAAGACGAATATACGACTTTCGTAATGGAGCCCGCAGGTGTCAAAAGGAATGAACAGGGCGGGCTGAACTAACACCACGTCCGGTGTAAAGAATAGCAGCGGCCTTTGTGTCGGCCGTTGTTTGTGTATTTACGTGTGCCTTGTTAACGTCGCGTTCGGTGGACGGCTGGCCTTTATCCGTGGCTATTTATTTCCCCGAGCCGGGGATACGTGAGTGGACAGGCGGGGTTACAGGTGAGGAGTTGGCGTTCCTCCTGAGGTGAACTGGAACCGAGGCGGAATTACAGACGACACCTTACCCCGCACGGCTCAATCAAACCGGCACGACAGCTGAATCACACCGGCACGACATGTAACCTGGCTTCTTGTAAACAACCCTCGTGTCTCGACGGGCAAGGTCGCGTGTAAGAGGGAGCCCAAAAAACAACACCAGACACGGTTTAGTCCTTTGCCCTGTCAGGGCACGTCGGCAGAATGTACTGCACCTGAACGAAACCCGTAATGTATTGTGCATTTAAGGCAAGGTTTAAACGCAGGGAATATAGCCAAATGTAAGGCTTCTCTAAACAAGACGTCATAAATACGCTAGTGGATAATTGGTTATAACCATACAGGCAATGGGCTACTGAGGTCTAGCCAAGTTTTACCCAACTTGTAGCTAGTTTTATACTGTCTTATATGTCTAGCCGTTGAATGAAGGAAGACCTTTATTGTACATTTGTGCCCCACTGGGCTAAGCACAGGTCACAAGAGTACAATCATATACATACATATGTATAATATAGCTGAAGCTTTTGAATAAGAACTTTTACAAGCTTTTTTTTTAGAAATGAAAAGTGTGAATTGTTCCAATAAAGATGATACCGTAAGCTCTCTATCGTTGTACGCCAATCCCCGATGATCCTTAGGCCACAACCTGTTTTAACTCTGTATAAAATATTAAGCCAATATTAAATAGAAAACAGCAGCACACGATCTACAACCCCCAAAGATACAAATTTACAGAACTGTTGGAAGTTTTGGGGCGGAATTTTTTATTATTTTTGTTTAGCCACCCTCCTTTTGGATGACTTCTCTGATTGAAATAAAAGTCATTAGTCGGTCTCCATTGAAGTGGTGCCTCGAGCCGTATGTAGTTTTGAATAATGATTATTTTGGCGAAGGTAATCTGTCGCGACGTGCATAAACATAACACTAAGGGGTCATTTGGCCAGTAAATGCAGTGTACGCACAGACGGCGCCGCAGCCGGCGGCGCTAAGATTTTACTTAGTGACTTAATTTGGTAAAGCGTGTTAGTTCCTGGACATTGCGAAGGAGGAAGACGGTGCACGGGCTACCCGACAGCTTGTCCGTAATGCTGACAGATCTGCGGAGGAACTGTAGAAAAATGCAGGTAAGTAGCAAATAGTTTCTCCTAGAAAAGGCTAAGGTATGAGGGTGGACAGCGTAAGGTGGTGACATGTTTTTCTTGCTTCTCTTGGCAGCTGCCTGCGCCTGTGCAGCCACAAATGGCCAGGGTTTTGCCCAGTGTAAGACAGCTGAATGGCAGGTGTGTGTGCCTTTGACAGACAAGCGGGGCACATTTCTCACATCTGGTAGCAAAACATGTGTCATGTGTGAAGTACTGAATGGGGGTGTTGCCGCTGTACGTCCTTTCCCTTCTCTTGCGGATGTAAATGGTTTGGCAATAAGAGGGTACCCATTCCATGTCCTGTCGGCCGAGAAACTGGCACCTGTCGAGCAGGCGAAGGTCATCACTTTGGCTCTGATAGACGGGAAGATCCCTGATGTGAAGAATGACACATTCGCAGGGTTTTCCCGTCTGAGCAAGCTCTCCCTAGATTCTAACAGGTTGACGAATGTCAAGCAGAGCTGGTTCAGTGGGTTGAAGAATCTTCTGTCGCTTACTTTGTCCAACAACAACATCAAGCAGATAGAGCCAGGGAGCTTCGTGCACCTGACTCGCCTGCATCTGTTGGATCTAGAGAACAACCTGTTACAGGTTGTAGACCCTTCCTGGTTCTGTGGACCAAAAGGGGGATTCACCCTGATGCTGAGGTCAAATGCAATCAACAGCATCTCCCCGGGGTCATTCCAAAATGTTCGGCTGGTCACGTTAGACCTGAGGGATAACGATCTGTCATCTTTGGATGGAGAGGTGTTGTGGGGACAGCCTTGGCTGACACGGCTGGATATCAGCAGTGGTGTGTTGTCGTCTGTGTATGATGCAATCCCACACGAAATGATGTGGAACCTACGTCGGTCAGCCCAGTTCAAGAGAGAGTCAGTAACAGCGCTTGTTGAGGTGCCCAAGTTCCTCTTCTGTGCCAGACACGATGCTCGTGAACTCTCGTTTGGGTGGGTGTTTGTTTCATCGGGCATCGTGGCTGGTAACACCGACTTTGGATCGGTCAACCCTGGCAGATCATGTGGTGATGTGAATAGTTCTCTGAGCACTATCTCCATCCAGTCCCCCGTAGTTGTCCTGGCCACCGACGGCTCTCTGGCAGACAAACTGGACACCAAGACGCTTGAACAGTGCAGGCAGGTTTGGGAATACGATGGGGGCATTACAGTGCCCCCTGGTGGGAAACTCGTTCTTCCGACTGGTTTCCATGGCCAAAAAGAGTGCTAACTCTGAAGATGTTGCCATGTCATTTTTCCAGACACAAGACACAAGCACACACACCACCACAGAGTCTGGCAGCATCACAAGGCACACCACAAACACTAACATCCCACATGGCAACACAGAGAACATCAGCTGCATTCTTGTCACCAGAGATGAACACACAAAGTTGTTCTTCACTGTTCCCTCGCTCCATCATCAGACACACACAACACAAACCACTTACCGAACGGGTACTGACCATTCCAGCAGCCCGACACACCACTGTGGAACTACAGAGAAAGACACATCTTTGGGACCTGTAGACCAGTCCACACCTCAGGTGAGTACCACACCTGTGCCAGATCTAGAGGTGGTTCAGTCACCAGGTCATGTTCTCATCCCAGTTGTGGTCTCGGCAGTGGTCCTTCTGGTTGGGTTGTCCCTTGCAGTGATATGGAAGATTTGCGCAGAAAGGTTAAAGGGGGAGAATGAAAGGGCCAGCGCTAGCGATGATGCACACATTTGGACCATCCCGCCTGGCGTTACCTTCCCCGGCTTGCTGAGGTCTGCCTCCCTCCCTGCACGTTCAGGCAAGATGGCGTCGGATGACGCAGTCTCACGTAGGTCATTGCCGGCTGTCCTGTGTTCCATCGAACCTACTTACAGTGAGATCCCAGATGACGCCACCTACAGCCAGATCCCAGATCACATGGCCGCTGCCCAGCGTCCCCTGCCTGCCCTCCCGCTCACATGCTGGGAGACCCCAGACCACATGACCGCTGCACAGCACCCCTTGCCTGTCCTACCACATACCTACAGTGTGATCCCAGATGATGGGGACAGTGGACCAATGCCTTTCTATGCCGATCCTGGAGAGATTTCGCTTCATGTCGTCACAAACAGGCGACAGAACCGACGGTCTGAACGATCCATGGCCACATATGGATCAACTGGACAGACCGGCGGCCAGGGGAAGCGAAATCTCTTCTACAGAAGGGCCTCCGAGGTCGAGTGTATAAGAGCCCGTCGACAGTTGAGGACAGCCCCGGTATCCCAGTCTGCTGACCAAGCTGTGAGGACGTACGTTAATGTCACAGATGCCATCCTGTCCGGAGGACATGATGTCAATAGGGCTCATATCACCTTCCTCACACAGCCTCACACATACCGGTCATGGGAGATCCCAGGGGAGGGAAACTGTATCGTACCACGGCGTGTGTCCCTCCCCACCGTCACACTACCTAACACCTACTGGCCATGGGAGATCCCAGGGGAGGGAACAAGTAACACACCACGGCGTGTGTCCCTCCCCACCGTCACACTACCTAACACCTACTGGCCATGGGAGATCCCAGGGGAGGGAACCCCTAACACACCACGGCGTGTGTCCCTCTCCACCGTCACACTACCTAACACCTACTGGCCATGGGAGATCCCAGGGGAGGGAACCCGTAACACACCACGGCGTGCGTCCCTCCCCACCGTCACACTACCTAACACCTACTGGCCATGGGAGATCCCAGGGGAGGGAACCCGTAACACACCACGGCGTGCGTCCCTCCCCACCGTCACACTACCTAACACCTACTGGCCATGGGAGATCCCAGGGGAGGGAACCCGTAACACACCACGGCGTGCGTCCCTCCCCACCGTCACACTACCTAACACCTACTGGCCATGGGAGATCCCAGGGGAGGGAACCCGTAACACACCACGGCGTGCGTCCCTCCCCACCGTCACACTACCTAACACCTACTGGCCATGGGAGATCCCAGGGGAGGGAACCCGTAACACACCACGGCGTGCGTCCCTCCCCACCGTCACACTACCTAACACCTACTGGCCATGGGAGATCCCAGGGGAGGGAACCCGTAACACACCACGGCGTGCGTCCCTCCCCACCGTCACACTACCTAACACCTACTGGCCATGGGAGATCCCAGGGGAGGGAACCCGTAACACACCACGGCGTGCGTCCCTCCCCACCGTCACACTACCTAACACCTACTGGCCATGGGAGATCCCAGGGGAGGGAACCCGTAACACACCACGGCGTGCGTCCCTCCCCACCGTCACACTACCTAACACCTACTGGCCATGGGAGATCCCAGGGGAGGGAACCCGTAACACACCACGGCGTGCGTCCCTCCCCACCGTCACACTACCTAACACCTACTGGCCATGGGAGATCCCAGGGGAGGGGACCCGTAACACACCACGGCGTGCGCCCCTCCCCACCGTCACACTACCTAACACCTACTGGCCATGGGAGATCCCAGGGGAGGGAACCCATAACACACCACGGCGTGTGTCCCTCCCCACCGTCACACTACCTAACTCCTACTGGCCATGGGAGATCCCAGGGGAGGGAAACTGTATCGTACCACGGCGTGTGTCCCTCCCCACCGTCACACTACCTAACACCTACTGGCCATGGGAGATCCCAGGGGAGGGAACAAGTAACACACCACGGCGTGTGTCCCTCCCCACCGTCACACTACCTAACACCTACTGGCCATGGGAGATCCCAGGGGAGGGAACCCAAAACATACAACAGCGTGCGTCCCTCTCCCTCACACCTAACACCTACTGGCCATGGGAGATCCCAGGGGAAGGACTCAGTAATACAGCATAGGAAACTATACTTTTCACAAAACCTATCCCTTTATGACCTCTATAATATACTTAACCATTTTAGTTTGCAGCAACAACACTTTTTTTTTCTCAAATCAGTACATTTACATCTCATATGATACAACCTAGAGGCACAGACGTTTTGTGGACATTTATAATTTCCTCACATATTTATGCTTGGCAGGCAAGTCTTAACCATGTCAATTAAAACTCCTAAAACCTCGAAGATTCATCGTCACATTAAAATGTAATTTAGTGGAACAATCTTATCATCCTTTAGCCTATCTGGGCTGCGCTGTTTACAAAGCTGACTTTCTCTTTTGAATATCCTAATATTATTTCAATATCTATATCAAATAATCACAGAAATCTTAATCTCACTGAATCACTCGCGGGTCAGATCTTCCAATGGCGACAAGCCACAGGATTATCTGACTGTGGATCGGACTGAGGGATCTGGAGCAACTTTCCTGAACAAGTCCCCAAATCTAAAAATCTTTGCTACATTTGTTTTCCTTTTCTTTACACATCTGTACCGAGCAATTAGAGCTTTAACCAAATCTCCAAATCCTAATCATTTTTAGGGAAATTAAGCATGTCAACAACTCATATACGTTGGAAATTTCCTCGATAACTAATACTTTCACAAAAAGGAGCTGTTTTGAAATATCACGACAAACAAATACGAAAACACAAAAACATAGAAAAAGGTAGAATTGTTAATATTCCTCTGTTACATATTTCAGTGTGAAATGAAAGATTAGTCGGCAGGCACCCTTTCCTGAGGGGGGGGGGGTATGTTAACATGAAAGGAGTGAGTATCGTAATGAAACATTCCACAAGTGTAGGATTATCAGGACTAGCCGTTACATTAACAACACGGGTACATGTTCCTGCCCACTCGCGGGTCAGATCTTCCAATGGTCACAGGATTATCTGACTGTCCTGAGGGCTGGAGCAACTTTCCTGAAAAACTCTAAAAACCTTTCAGCATCTGTTTTCCTGTTTTTGAAATACAAAGACAAATAAGAAAAATACAACTACGACAACAACTCCTGAGGGCTGGAAAACATTTCTGGAAAACTCCAAAAATCTTTGCAGCATCTGTTTTCCTTTTCTTGGGAGATTCAGATGATAATCACAAATCTCTACCGTGGAATTAGAGATTTTTAACAGAATCTCCAAATCCTAATCATTTTAGGAGAATTAAGCATGTCAACAACTCATATACTTTGGAAATTTCCTCGATAACTAATCATCATCATCATCATCATGTCGGGAGTACATGTAGTTCCCGGTCCCAAACTTCCACAAAAAGACGATGGGCTGTTTTTAAATATAAACCGAATAAGAAAAACACACACAGAAAGAGGTAGAATTGTTAATATTCCTCTGTTACATATTTCAGTGTGAGATGAAAGATTATTCGGCAGGCACCCTTTCCTGTGTGTGTGTGGGGGGGGGGTATGTTAACATGAAAGGAGTGAGTATCCTAATGAAACATTCCAAAAGTGTAGGATTATCAGGACCAGCCGTTACATTAACAACACGGGTACATGTTCCTGTCCACTCGCGGGTCAGATCTTCCAATGGTCACAGGATTATCTGACTGTCCTGAGGGCTGGAGCAACTTTCCTGAAAAACTCTAAAAACCTTTCAGCATCTGTTTTCCTGTTTTTGAAATACAAAGGCAAATAAGAAAAATACAACAACAACAACTCCTGAGGGCTGGAAAACATTTCTGGAAAGATCCAAAAATCTTTACAGCATCTGTTTTCCTTTTGTTGAGAGATTCAGATGATAATCACAAATCTCTACCGTGGAATTGGAGATTTTTTAGAGAATCGCCGCAATTAACGCACGTCATTTAGTAGTTGTTTATTGTAAGTAATCAGATTAAATTTGTAATTATTGTCTTCAACATTAATGTAATGTAAAGGAAACTAGCATCCTAAGAGTCATTTCATGTTCGTAACAAATTTAGCAAGATGATGTTATAACTATAGATGTGTGATTATGTGTTGGTGTTAATCTTGTTTGTAGTTCTGATGTGTAAAATAGACAAGGGAAAAACGACTCAAGCGGACTCAGCTCTGCTGTGTGTGTGTGTGTGTGTGTGTGTGTGTGTGTGTGTGTGTGTAGGGGAGGGTACGAGTGGTGTTTTGGATCGTTTTATGGCATATTATAGCCTTCGTAGCAAGAGTCGTGGCTTATTGAATTACTATGTGAAGTTTTGAGATTGCATATCTGTATCGGATAGTTGACAGGTTCTAACGGTCGCCTGCTAAAAGCCTGATATGGAGGCTGGGAATATAATAGACCAACGGGGCTTGTTCACAAACTAGGGATTCTTTTTTTAAAACGAAGATTGTAGCAAAACTATGAACTGAATATTAGTAATGGGTTTTATTGTCTAGCGTTAAGATTGTTTGTGTCGGTATAGTATTACTTGATTCGCCCAGAGAATGTATGGCAAAATGAAATGACTGTGCCTTGCAATGGTTTAAGCAGATACACATGTATGAAAGTATTAAAATGGTACGTACATGACAGGGGCAGCCAGTCCAATGGAGGATAGCTAAAGTGATCCTAAAGCCATTGCGATTTTGTGAGGAAATTGTCTACAAAGTTTAAAGATTCTGTAACAGTTAACCAATGAGCTGTGACTGTCAGGAAAAGATAAAGAAAATCATTTGTGTGTACATGTGGAGAGGGGTTGGGTGGGTGTAATACAGGAAGTTGTGGTGAAATCATCTCATCAACTCTACAACCCTAGAAGTAACCAACAGTGAATGGACTGAGAGTTAATGAGTGGCTTGTAGTAATCTAGTTTCTGAATCACTGATCCAGTCTGCAACTCAAATTCCGGTCTGCCATCCGGAACCCCTATAGCGGAGGACAGTTACACCTTGAAGACACTTAAATCTTGAAACTTTGGTTCGTCGCAATAACGTCGTCTGCGCGATGCCCCGACTAGGGACGATTGAACTTGAACACCAAGGAATGGAACCACAAAGTTCTGCATATCTACCTTGTCTGGCTACAAGGCCCGGGCCCGTGTAATGTACTGTCACATTTCTGCTACAATACTGTTGTGAGAGGCTATTATGGATCAACGACGTCTACATGCATGGATACTTAAAATGTCTTCACCAATTTAAACTCTGATCTGATACGATCGCGCCATCTGTCGGGTTTATCTCACAGGGCCCCTTCGTCGAACTTGTAAGGATGTTTTTTAATCTTTCAACTGGCGTTCACATATTTTGGACTGGAAGACGGAAAACACGAACGTTCATCTATATCTACCAGACTTGCTGCTTTACTTAAGAGTACAATTTGTAACAAGATTTATACTTGTTATACCGAGATTCTGACATGTCACAGCTCATGGCCCTTTCTCCACAACTTTTGTATATTATTTATTTATAACTTGTTTACCTTAGGCTCAAGCCAATACTAAAAAGAAAACAACGCACTGCCTGCTATCAGACAAAAAGTACCTGTTTACAGAATTGTTGGACGTACGGGGGTGGAAAAACGTTTGTAACCAATCTTCTTTCTATTCAGATGAGTTCCCTGATTGGAATAACTCTGCTTGAGCCGGCCTCCATTGAACTTTGCCTTTGGTATGTAGTTTTGAATAATGAATGTTTTGCGGCGCACTTTGGAATGCAGTTTTATAGTTTGTCTTCTTTCCCTCTCATGAAAAATTGTAAATGTATTGACTTCTTGGCCAATAGCGCTTTTTGCTGTGCTCATATGATTTTAGAGGCCTTTTATTATACTTTTATCTGTTAGCTGAAGACAAAAAATTTACAAAAAAAAAGGATATCAAGAATCCAGTAAATGTATGCTTTAAATGTGTTTAACTGTCTCTATGGTAATTACGCTACAATCAGATGCTTTAATATCAATTCTTATTTGTATGACATATGTGCACATAGCCGATCCTTCTTATTTAGTTTAAAGTGATTCATAGCAACGTTTTGTTAAGAATCAATTGTACCATAAAATGATGTAGTGTTTGCAACTTTATTAACGATGTTTGGAGGGAAAGTCAGCATGATGTGAAGTAATATTAACCATGCCTCTAGTGAAATATACAGGATTCATATTCTGCTCGTTGATGTAAAGAGTGTCATTGAATATTTACTGCTCATCTCTACTGTATGTTGTATACTAGCAATAAATATGTCAGTGACATGAAAATGATATGTCGAGTACCTGAATTTGTGGTCTTCTCAGCTAATTAAGTCGAGAATTCTCACTTGCACAACGGTGTGGCCCAAGGACATAGAACCAGAGATAGGCACCGCCTTATAACCCAAAAGGTGTGGTAAAGACTAAGATATGCAATACTAAGTTCACGTTGAGGACGTTGTCTAGAAGACACTACTGTACATCAGCTCACTATTTATATACATCGAGTAAAACAGCTCACGACTAAAAAAAACCACCAGTCACGATCACGACACGTAAGAGACACATTGTTGTTTCAAAGGTTCTTAGGTGGCGTATTTGAAAATGCTGGCCAATTGATACTGCCTTGCCGATTTGATACTGGCTTCCTTTATTTCTTTATTCCAGGCATGACTCGCTCATATAAAACATACAGATACAAAATACACGTAACAATAGTAAAATATGTCTGGTAGAGATACAGACGGGCACAGATATCGCGGAAGAGTGTTGCCACCCAAAGATCGAGTCGAAAATTAACTCAATCTCTCCGGAACGTTGTCAGAACAACTTGCACGGCCATAGAAATAGACACGACCAGTCCGGCAGTGTAGGAGAGACTCCTAGTGGGAGCCTTGAGAGCTGCAAGGTAGGCCACGGTGTGCATGAGACGGGCGGCGGTGAAGAGGCGGAAGTGCCAGGCGGCTACCGTCTGACTCGGGGCGCTCAGCACGTAGAACAACCCGATCAGGACGAACGGGAGGATGTTCTCCAGGTCGTTACGATGAGTCCTGCGGAGAGAGAGAGAGAGAGAGAGAGAGAGAGGAAAATTTAGAATGATTAGAGACGTCTAGTTCAGGTCATTGTCCTTATTGGTTTGGAGAAGAAGAAGAAGAGGAAACAGAGCAAAAACGATATGTTTTATTTAAATTCCTTCGGCAATTATAATAACTCACACCTAGATAGAGATAAAAAGGTACATGTAAAACTTAAACGTATGTTCAAAGATGCACACGATGACGTCATCCACCCACCTGACAGCCCGCTCTACATCCGGGTGACTCCTGACGAACTCCGGTCCGCCATGACGGTCTGCGTCCTCTGGGTTTAGGAACGACTGGTAAACAAACAAATAAACAAATGAATAAATAAACAAACAAATAAACAAGCCCTTTATAACTATATTGACCACATACATAAGAAAAAATACAAATGATTAGCTTCACTCGATTATAACACTAACATTATATCAAAGACTTATGCTGGCCCTTGTTGCTTTAGTAATCAGGATGTTAAGTTTATTCTTTAGTCTTTTTCTGTACAATGTTCAATAGTTTTTACCATACATTGTACCATGTACAATTGTCGTGTTATATATGTTCTTTGTAAAGCTTCACAGGAGCTACAATACATTAGCGCCTCCTAGCTTTCTGTGGCAGAACTGATATTAACCCGTCCGATGAACAAGTTGATACACTCTAGAGGAAAAATAGCATATCCTAACTATTGCAACACTTATGAAATTATCTCATCATAGTAATGTTAATCGTTTGGACGAAAAAAGTTTAAAATGTGCTACGTGAAACAGAAATAACAGTTAAAACGATTGCTTAATGTATAATTCAACACATACGCATTGACGTAACAAGTTGTTCTTTAAACATCACGGCTTTTAGTTAAACAAATTGTCGGTGTTGAGCACAAAAGCATTGGAGTAATATAATATTACAGCTTGGGTCACTTAACTGTGCAAATTTGTCCTCTGAGTAATAAATGACCGTTCTGTCGACCGCGACCGGCCTGACTTTTTCAACTAGGATAAATTAAAATTATCCGGATTGAGCCTGATAGAATGAGACCGGCTTCGATCCAATCTACTTTACCCCAGTGGGAACGCTCATCCCGATCCAGCTTGAAGTTGGTACGGCACAGCGAGGTGAGTCTTAACCAGAAAATTTATGTTTTCTATAAGATACACATGATGAAAATCACAAGAACATCTGTTGAGTTGGAGGTGCGCCAGACTGTGACCCAACGCGCCCTGCCTTTCTGCCAAATGTGTTCTTTATGTACGTGACAAAAGTCAACACAGTCAATGGCAATGTCAAACACTAGACGGAGCGTTCAGCCTCAAACGGAAGAAAAGCGGCACGCTTCACGCCAGTGTGTCAGGCGGAATGGTGCGTAAAAATATGACCAATCACAGCTGCCATACTGAAGCCTAACCCAGCTGGGCTGACTTTCACGGAACGTTACTTAACTGGGTTGGGCGTATTTTGTGACGTCAGTAATATTGCTTGGATTAAAGTGGATATAAACGCACCAGGACAGTTTGCGTCACTGTTGACGTCATTTGAGTCTTTGGGAAGAATTTCTTGTGTTTTTTTTGGTCACGCGTATAAGTAACTTTATAAAACACCCTCGCCGATCTAACTCTTACCTTTGTTACTAACAAGGAGAACAGTGCCTTGGTATGTTTTTATCTAAGCTTAAGGCCTAAGAAAAAAAGTATCCGAATGTGCTAATCGAGGCACTAGTACTTTAACGACGGAGATTGTGTTGCACACGCAACCTTTACGTAGTCTGGATGCCACACTATCGTTGGGCCTGATACAAGCTAGCCCATTAGTTGGACCTCTCAGGATTAAGGGTATCTATGGTAAAATTCCAGTTAGCCCCGCAGCCATGGAGCTAGCCTGTATTCCGGCCCTAGCAACAAGCCTGGCACCCAGGCTAATCTTTACCAGGACATGGTTTGCCAACATGTAGCCCTCTAGCCTATGACCTGCTAAATTCCTCTGGCATGTTATTCTTCCAGTTCACCTCAAACGTTTACGATTTCTTTCACCAACCTACGGAATTGTGGCCTTGAAAACTCATCTGGTGATCACTTGAGGGCTAAAACATTACTTGTTTTCGTGGGACATTCTTCAACCCGTCTGTTCTGAATTTCTGCCTAGTCAGTGTTTCAGTTCACACATGGAACTGAGAGTTAAGTCTGAAGATAAGTCTACTGGTTCCAGACCTTGGGTTCTACTAAGGCGAGTGGTACCTACACAGGCTAGTTCCCAGGGCCAACATACCCCCAAAGAATAGAAATTATACCAGAGCCCCCCTCAGTTAGACCCTAGCTGGCTAGCTCTGTAACTAGCGTGTTTTGGGTCTGGCATCCAGGCTAGATGATTGAGGGTTATCGTAGCCCAGACAACAGGACTAATCCCTGGGACTAAATCTGTCCTCTTGTGCGTCTCCTGAGAGTTTTGGAGAGATAATATCTCACAAGAAGAACCAGTAAAGAACAAAAGAACTTACTCGACAACCTCTCCACCTTCAGTACGCTATAATCTCTAGTCCCTGTTTTGCACGGCGTCTGCCAAAATATAAGAACTAACATTCCGCGGATTTTTAAAGAGCGACCCTGGTTCGAGTATGAACTCGATCTGTGAAAAACGAATTTTCCCCTTGCCTCAGCCTCAGAGCAGCTATACGTATTAAATCGCCCATGAATCTAAAAAGAAAAACATGCTAGACTTTTAAAAAGATGACCCACCTTAGTACTGAGTCTCAACTGTCCCGTGATGATAGAAACGGTGAACATCTTCAGTATCAGGACCATACAGTAGAAGGCAAACGATCTGAAAGTCGGGTTCCTGAAATCCAAAAACGCAGACATGTTGGGGTTGTCTTTCTCGTCCGCTGGCCTCGCAGTCTGAGATTTAGAAGTGTCGCCTTTGTAACTCGAGCCGGCCTTAGCTCTGAGAACGATAATACGTGGGCCTCCTGGGGTGGATGGAACCGTCCTTGTTACACGAATGGCTTCACCGGTTTTCTTGTCGATTTTACGGCGAATCAATCACGGTCAAGTTGTGAAAGGGCGGCAGAAATTCGGGCGTCGGGGTATGACTGTTCCCGAGACAACAAGAGATCATGGGCAGAAAGAAAGTCAGTTGTTGTGACGCTTCCAGCACAGTCGAGATCTTTTTCCAGCGGTGTAACGTGCGGGTACAACAGGTGAGCACCCCGGCAGACTCAGACACGCATCCCGGGTACGTCGGCTTTTGAACTGAAGCACCCACGTCGCCTTAAGACATATTTATACTCACTGGATTACCTGTTCCGGTTTAAGGTGTTTCCTGACCGGAAATGACGCAACAGAAATACCAGAGATAAGAGAAAATAGCCGGGTGGGTTGTCCGTAGATGAGTCAGCGGCTTGCCCTATTTAGCAGAAGACCACGCCCACAGGTGATCATTCCTGTCGCCTGGTGCCGCAACACAAAGACCAGGTAGGAAGGATCGGGACGGACCATTTCTCTCCAAGAGGGGTCCTAAAATTTTTACCACAATTCTATGAAATTGAAACGAATCATTCTTAATCGCGCATTAATTTCTGTTGACGATAAGAAATGTTAAGCTAGCCTGGGTACCATCCTACTTGTATGCCGGGGCTCCCACAGTCGCTTCTTAGGGAAGCGACTGTGGGAGCCCCGGCATACAAGTAGGATGGTACCCAGGCTAATGTTAAGCGACAAAGGCAGTATTTAGATAGTTCCTATCAATATACATTATCTTTTCAGTGCGATGTCCAGTGTTTTTGAAGTGTTGTGCCAACCAAGAAATTTGTCATGCTAATCTTTCCAACCAGCCTTTCTAAAACTTACGTCTTTCTTCCCGTTTATTGAAATTGCAACAAGACAATACAGTGCAAAGCTGGTGTGTTACGCCGAAGGGTGGTTATACCGACCATACAGATACAGATACAGAAACCAACATATGGCCTATAAAATTAAAGACGTTAGCCTCCTGTGCAGGCCCCGCGGCGGTGGAGAAGAGTTTTTAACGCGTTATTCTAATATAGCCGGCCACCCTACATAGCCCCGTGGGCGGAAAGCAACCTTCTCTCGGCGGCTATGTAGGATGGCCGGCTATATTAATATATATATATATTTTAGCCTGCACAGGAGGCTAAAAGACGTAGCCTATGATGATCCCGCGGCCAGAACATCCGCTAATCTGCAGAAGACCAAGGAAGTTACTAACACATCTAACAAACACCGTGATGGGCTGTGCAAACAAGACGATGAGGTGATCTCCCCCGGGTCAACAGATCGTCATGTCAATCGTTATCAGATTCACCAGGTGTTTTATTTCATGATTCATACGATATACTGACGTGAGGCCGTGGCAGCAGGGGGGCTTCAGATTTTTGGGACCTCTTTTGTAGTATTCGCTGTGGAAAACAGGCTTGCATCAAGGACGTTCTCTTATCTATCAGAACGTCCTTGCTTGCAGGAAACTGTTACCTGATGCCCGAAAGAAACGAACTTAAAAAGTACTCAGTGGTTATAGCCAGCTCATGAAAAAAAAAAAAAACGAAATTTTAAAACAAACTGGTTGTTTCATCACGTCATTTATTATTACTATCATTATCATTATTTATTATTTTTTGGGGATCGATGTATAACGTTATACCCCAATTTCTTTCTAAAGATCTGGCGTTTACAACGTTATATCGCGCATAACTTCAATGTTATATTTTGTTGTGTTTATAATTAATGTCACTAGCAAAACTTTTTATTTTTATTTTATAACGTTCAGCGGCCGGAAAAGTAGTGCCAAAATCACAGAAGACATAAACGTGCGAAAAAAAATAATAAATTTCACCACCACCCCTTTTAGCAAGAATGGTATAGCTTCACAACACCCTGCTCTACGGAGTGGACTCGTCCATAGCGGTGCACCACGGGAAATCCATCATGGCGGACGATCAGGTAAATATTTTATTTTCACACGTGTTTGGACATAATTTATCGATATTCTGTCGCCTCTGACGGCTTCTTGTCTTGTTTTTGTCTTCCAATGGAGGAAGAACGAATGACTCACTCGTAGTTATAGTTGCACTTCACATTCCCTCTCTCAGTTTTCGGAAATTTTGGTCATTCGCAATCCAGATATGCTGCATGCACAGACGTGTCTAATAATTTACGAAAAAGACATGTAAAAGTATGAAATTGAAATTCTATGAATACTAATATAAACGTTAAATGTTAGCTTGTAGATGATTATATACAACATGTAACGTTGTACAATTATACGACTTCCTTTGTCGTCATTTCTTGTTCATTTCTTAATGAAACAGGAGTCCTACGATAATATTTTGGTGCCTTCGAAGCTTCTCACTGAAATTATTTTACAGTGAAAGTTTGTATATTGAAATATAATTATCACGTATCATGTTATGAATTTATGACATTAATGTTGTTGTACATAAAGGTTATAGCTCAGGATCTTCCCAAGGCCATGGACACCCTGAGGGACATTAAAACACAGGTAGGTCCATGTATCTGCTTGGTTTCATAAGTAAATTGTTAATTTGTGTAGTATTAACACAATTAATTTGTGTAGTATTGCTAGACGTAGTTCCTACATTAGGTGCTTGGTTTCATTTGGTTGAGTTGTTCCACAATGTACTCTCATAGTTTGTAACGCCTGATTCAGTGATTGGAGTTGAACTCCTCTTGGTCTAGAGGCAGGATCGCTAACCACTGTTCTACAGTCGCTACTAATCTAGTTCTGAAATTTAATGACTGTGAATGGAACAATTGTAAGAAACAGGAGGAGCCAGTAAAAAGCCTTCTGGTCCCGGGCCGGGGTTCGAACCCACGACCTCCCGGGCACCAGAGCTTCATAACTAGATGCTCTAACCGCTCGGCCGAAAAGGTCTAGACCCATTGGCTGGGTCAGTTGGTAGCGCCTACTGTTACACCCACTGTTACACAATAATTAAGTTCAACATATTCTCTCCCCACAGGTGGACTCTGTGACAGGAGACATGAAGGGTTTACTGAAGAAAGTAAAAGATGGAGAGATATCTACTGCAAAGGTAGGAAATTACATCTCCATCTTTTTTTTATGAGTGTGCAATTAGCCACACGGGCCACTTGAACTTATTCAAGTCCTAGGCACTGAACTAACGCTCACTGTAGCAGGATCTCTTCTCCCTAAGGCAGGTTTGACTAACTGACTTAATACGTGAAGCTCACACGAGTGACAACAGCCGAGCCTGAAACTCGATTGAGATCACTTTCAGTTTTTTTCTAGCCTTAAATTGTTTCCTCCCCTCCAGGGCATCAGTTTTCTGGAGTCAAAGTACCAGCTTCTCCTGAGTTACCTCATCAACCTAACTTACGTCATGCTGAGGAAGGTGGAGGGAGGCTCTATCAGGGGGGACCCTGCTGTCAGCAGGATTGTGGAGATCAGGACGGTGAGTATTTTATGTACTGTGTATTTGTTGTGTGTACTTTTTGTGTATATCCAGGATAACTTGAAAAGCAGGCCAAAATGGCCTGAGTTGTAATTACTGGTAAAGTGAAGTGAAGTATGTAGAAAGGAGGGTGTGTGAGGGGGACCCTGCTGCCAACAGGATTGTGGAAATCAGGACTGTGAGTATGTAGAAAGAAGGGTGTGTGAGGGGGGACCCTGCTGTCAGCAGGATTGTGGAAATCAGGACTGTGAGTATGTAGAAAGAAGGGTGTGTGAGGGGGGACCCTGCCATCACCAGAATTGTGGAAATCAGGACTGTGAGTATGTAAAAAGGAGGGTGTGTGAGGGAAAACCTAGAACTGTAAGATTTAAAGAGCCCGACTCAACATGTCAGATTTTATACTGGACGATTGCAGAAGCATTTACATGTAGTTTGTAGGTTTCCAACTGTGGGATATTTTGAAAGACACATCAGTCCCTACCATGTAATGATGCCCCCTAACTGTTTGTATGTGTATTGCAGTACCTGGAGAAGATGAGACCCATCGACCACAAGTTGAAGTACCAGGTGGACAAACTGGTCAAGATGGCTGCCATGGGTGACCTTTGTAAGTCACTTGTTCCTTAAGTGCTAGGCAGTTTCTCAGTCACCTTCTTCTTCTTTTAAGTAGTCCTTTGAAGTCAAAGATGACGGTCAGTGTCCTCCTTCAGGGGAGTGTGACTGGTATTTTCATTCATCCAAAATTTTAGCAACATTCTGCTGTAATTCTAGCATTCTAGTGGCGTCAATTGCAATGCTAAGAAAATGATTTTTTTACTCATGCATTTCTATATTTTGTTTATGTAACCCTTGAGTACTTAAGCCTGTGAATTATACTTTTTTTCAGCTGAAAATGATCCACTGCGGTTCAAACCTAACCCTGACAACCTCACAAGTAAGGTAAGCAGGTTTATGTTTATTATGGTGGCTGCAACAAAATTCAGGGATGATCCTTCCAATCCACTATCATGAAAGTTCATCTGTATTGGTAGTTACATGTTTTATACTGGCTGCTGCTCTTGACATTGGCTGTATGTATGATTGATATTTGCTTTTTAGCTGGATGAATCAGAGGCGGAGTCAGAAGACAGTGACGAGGAAAAAGACTCTGGGAAGCCCAAGGTGTACGTCCCACCCAAACTGGCACCCATGCACTATGGTAAGAACTGTCTCCAGTAGACCAATCCTGATTGTACATCACAATTAGCCGTTCAGCCAATGACAGCATGGCAATTAGTGGTTCGGCCAATGAGAGAAATGTCCATTAGATGTTTGACTGTTGTATTTATTTTGCATATCTAGCTATCTATGTCTTGGATGGAGGTGGGATGGCTATATTTCCTCAGTCTGTGCATTTTTGCACTTTCATTATAAAGTGGCTATTTTCCTATAATACTACCAGGATGTAAACAAACATGGCTGACATCCGTGTTTCAAGCTTTTGAAGGCATGATTTTTTTTGCACCAAAACTTCCTGAATATCACTTGCAATAGAGTAGGTTGATTCAACTCGTGTAAAGCGATGACCAGAAAATTTACTTGCCATATAGTGCTAATGCTACATAATTAAATTTTTTTCCATTAGATGAAGACACGCCCGTCCAGAGACAACAGAAGAAGGATGAGCAGGCCAGGAAGAGAGCTCTGCGCAGTTCTCTCATCAGGGAACTTAAAGGTAAAATGTGCAAAATTAAACTTGAAGGTCATAAAAAACCCAAAGAATTCTCAGAAGTTCTCTGAATTTTTATTATAGATAAACATGTAATGGTTACATGTACTAGTACATAATGTAGTGTATGTACCTTGATGATGGTGTATTTTTACATACTCAGGTTATGTGTTTTCAGTAGTGTAAGCTCTACCTTTGTGTCACATATGGTCAAATGAATTCTAAATAATTTTATGACTTGTATTAAATTTTATGTCATTTTACAGAGGCTCATTCAGATGCACCGCAGGAGATAAGAGTAAGTTCTGTTCACTAGCTGTCTGTGACTTTTACTTGGACTTGGACACAAAAATGTCATTCTTTATCCAAAATACAGTCAAACTGCCATACATGCCCATTAGCGGGCCCCAAATTTTCTATAGACCTTTTTATGGATCTGTCATACTTTGGAAGTTGATAAGGTTTGCTGTTTGTATGTTGAAAAGTACCAGTGTTTTTATAATTGTTTTATAAACATTTCCCAGGACTCTGTGGGCTTCCGTAGAAGTGTGGAGACTCAGGACGACAGACATCAAAGAGAGTAAGTCATGTTTCCTTCCTGTGCAAAGTTGAATTCAGAGTTGACTATTCAGTCTTTGATGATTTTCTCTCTAGCATTACGCTTAGCAGAATTATCATGAAGTGAGTTTTTTTTCTGCCAAGAATGATGATAGTTTAGTAAATATATACATACAGTATTTGATATATTGAAATCAATTTTCTATTCTAATTTTTTTCTGCAGGTATGAAGAAGACTACTTTGTGCGCCTGGCTGTTTCTAAGAAGCAGAAAGTAAGTGAATCAGTAAGGTAGTCTTGTCACAGTCCTTTTAAAGGCTTTTTAGTGTCTCCAGAGTTATGAATAATATATATATATATATATAGAGAGAGAGAGAGATATATTATTAGAGAGATTGAATGTTGTTATTTTGGCCTAGATAGAAGAGATTGGTAATATGCACTGCATCACACGCATTGAAGGCAGAATATTCCATAGCCAATTATTACTTTATTGCCTACAATACTAACATGGTCACAGCTTGACATGGCTTCTCTGACATGAGCTCACAAGTCAACAGTTATGAATCTAGATTTTTAAGTAAGGTATTAAAATGATTTTCAAGATGGTAAAAATTTGCATGTCACCCATCCTGTGCCCTTGGGAAAGGCACTTTACATGACTTTCCTCAGCTCATTTACTATAGGTGAAAATAAGTATTCCAGAATGATCATTATCAGGATTTTGGGCATTAAAGAAAGAAGCAGAAGAAGAAGAAACCCAGAAGACTTCCTGCAAGTCTATTGTCTGATTTCTTGTTATCATGAAATGTTTTGTTTTCTACAGCGTAAGCAGAGTCAGGGGATGGTGTCCACTCTGAACCAGATCACCAAGTTTGGTGACACCAGTGCTCTGTTCGGGGGAGAGGGAGGGGCAAGCTCCTCCAAGAAAAGGTTTGTTTGTTTTACATAATACCCAGTAAACTGCCTCTAGGTGTAACACAGGTCTGGTTTTGTACTGTAAGGCCACACCAATTTATTCGATAATTTGTTCTCTTGCTTGTTGATAACTCCTTGAATACTTGTTTTCTTGCAGGAAAAGGTCATCAAAGAAGGGAAAGAAAGGTGCAAAGAAAGGTAAGTACACACTTGAAGGACAGATAATTTCAAGTTGATCAAAGACGTTCTGTTTTTCTTATATTTGTTCATAAAGCTCTCATTATTGTTTATGTCTGTGTTTGCATGATTATTGCAGACCTGTGTTACACCTACACCATAATTTTTGTACATAATCAATTCTCTGTATAACTTTTACCGAATTGTATATTTCATGTCTACTGATTTTTGATGTCTTATGTCTAATGTTTATTGTTTGACTTGGTTCCGTATTGTTTTGTATTATCATTTCAGGTTTGGGAGGACAACTTGTAAAGGCGTTGATACACCTGTTTTGTCCTCCCTTCCACTTGTTTTTTGCATGTGGTGAATTCAAATAAAGAAATAAAGAAATAAAGAAATTATGTTTCTACTTGTATCACAAAGCCCTTTATAAGCTGGGCCCTCCCTGGTGAGCAAAAGAGCTGTTTTTTTTCTCATTTCGTTCTTTTTTTTCTGGCTTGCATGTAGCTGCGATCTGGCTTGCATGTAGCTGCGATCTGGCTTTTCTGGCTTGCATGTAGCTGCGATCTGGCTTGCATGTAGCTGCGATGCATGCAGCAAATGCCGTAGAAAACCTGCACAGATAAGCATACAGCGTGACACATGCATCGGCTGTTTGTCAGCAACTGGGCAGTCTTGTCCACCTACCGTGTGATGTTATGCAGTGCATACCGTGTCCACATTGAGTGGAAACATTTTGCTCTCACTAAAACTAACCCTGTCCCCTCCTCTGGTCTTCCCCTGTAGACTGACCCAGTGAGACTTGTCACGTGGCTTCTCTGAAGTGTGATGTCAACACTGGGTGTGCTGGAACATACATGTAACTACCAACACAGATGGACTTTCATGACAACTGATGTTTTTCTTTTCTTTTAGGGTTCAAGAAGAGGAGGAAGTGATCTCCTCATGGTGAATGATAAAGACATGTCCAGGGATGAAATCTACATTCAATGCCTTCTAGTAAAGTTTTCCATTTTTCCCATTTATTCCATGGATTACCACAATATGATGATGATGATATGAATTAAAACCAAGCAGATGTCAGGAAGGAAAGACTTGCCAAATAAAACAAGAAGTGATACATTTTGCAGAATATTTTAAATCTTGTGTTCAATTCTTTACGTTAACACTAAAAAAACTTCATTATAAAATGTTTTGTCTCCAATGGAAAGAGCCATGTTACATTACAATTGTGCACGTTAGTCCAGTATTATTGGCATAAGCCCTGTCCACTTCAAGGCGTAAAACCTATAGCCCTGACCACTTTAAGACGTAGAACCTATAGCCCCAGCCACTTCAAGACGTAGAACTTATAGCCCTGTTAACTTCAAGAGGTAGAACTTATAGCCCTGTCCACTTTAAGACGTAGAACTCATAGAGCCCTGTCCACTTCAAGACGTAGAACTTATAGCCCTGTCCACTTCAAGACGTAGAACTTATAGCCCTGTCCACTTCAAGGCGTAGAACCTATAGCCCTGACCACTTTAAGACGTAGAACTGTCCACTTCAAGACATAGAACTTATAGCCCTGTCCACTTCAAGACGTAGAACCTATAACCCTGACCACTTTAAGACGTAGAACTTATAGCCCCGGCCACTTCAAAACGCAAAAAAAAAAAAGAATATGCAACTGCTTGACGGACATGCATTCATTCTCATTGGTATAACCAATAATTACCTTCCTCCCATTGGTTGAACTGTTAGTTGTAATGGACAGTCAGGATCAGTCTATTGGGTCTAAGAATTTGTGGGAAGGCTAGTATCAAGTGCTGGTCATTTCTCACACTTTGATTCAATTCAATGGAAAGGTTGGTAATAGGTATTAAATCTGGTCAGATTGCCCCTAACCTACCGCTTGGTTGGTGGTCGGGGGAAGGTTCTGAATGTGTGACATTGGATTAACTTCAGACGGGGTTGTCCATAGTATCTATTGATTGGGGTCCAATTTGCAACACCATATAGAGCCAACTGATTCATCTCCATCAGTGCCAGTGCCGTTACGACAGTAAATAGATTGGACAGTGCCACGCAAATTGCCTCGTAAGTCGACCTTTGTCAATTGTAGGGTGGAAGATAGATTATTATCAATCATTGCCAAATTGGAGGCAATATCTGGGGAGGGTGGTAAGCTCTTCTCTCCAGAAAGGGGATTTACAGGTTGCTGTATTAAAGCTAGGAGATGGTGAAAGAAAATGACAGGAAATGTCAGAGAGAGAGACCCACGCACACAAGATTTTATGTTACGATGATGTTTATTGTGTAGTTTGGATGGGTAGTCACAGCATAATATGCAGTGTTTGTCACCTTTTAGCATTTTACAAGTTCGCCAGGGGGCGATAGCCGACAGGTCATCAACACTTAATGCAAGTTCAAGTAGAAAAGTTGTTAAAATAATGTTTCAGTAGAGACCTTTCTATCAATGGCTACATGTAGTTCATTGCAGTAAATGTGTGGGGCCTTTTCAGAACAGGCCATCGCTGCAAATTATCCAACACTTCTACAAAACAGTGATAACATTGACTTTTACTCTCAAGCTTTTTAAGCTGGCTTGATCGTGTCATTTAGCAGACAAACAAATACAGGATACTGTGGTGCATTTTATGAACCCAAATTAAGTCATTATCTATCTGGTGACTATATAGCTACATCCATAATGACTTCTATATACTCAACATTGATAACTACATGCAAAACTACATACACTTCATAATTTATACGGTATTGATACTATACAACAGCAATGAGGCTTCAATACACACAAAATCAACACATACTATTAGAGCAATATTTATGAATCATAATTTTTTTGAAAATGACATGCCTCAGCAGAGTTCATTATTTGATGCCCATTTACTGAAAAATAGTACAGTACATGTATGTTGAAAAGTTAATCACCCTATAAATGCGTGTCTTCCATCATTCCCAATATATACACAATCATCTGTAGTGCAGCTTGTTTTTTCCCTGGCACTGGAAGAAATGCAAAGCAGTGTGGGTAAGGGATTGAAGTCTGCCATCTCTGCTTACGTTGTTCACCATCAGGAACTACTGGACAGGTATATTCATCTAATTCTGAGTCTTATTCTTTGGATGGATCACGTTTTGGAATACAGATGCATCCCACTTCGTAGTATTGTAAATAATGCTTTGTAGATATAACACGGTTTGAAATGCAGCAGGTGTTCTGTTTATGTCTCGGGTGTTAACCACAGTGCATTACACCTAGACATGCGCAGTTTAAACCATGAAACAGCTTATTGCTTTTTCTTTAAAAAACAGTTAAAAAGGTACAGTAGTTATCTTTTTGATTCTGCACTCCACAGTTGTCATTTCTTTTAATGTAGACTATGTATTCACTTGTCAACAAATACTGACAGGGATGTCGTGTTTTGAGATGAGTTCTTACTTCTTGACTTGCCGTTCTTGTGAATTGTTAGCACTGCTCTAGTAGTATTGATAAAGGTATCATTACGTTGTTTTTAGAAATTTACGTTTGCATGATATATTATTGTGAAGCAGCAAGATACAGGTATATGTATGTAGAGTTTTTTATGTTGCCTGCATGGGAAAGAGCATCTTTCATTTTGTGGCACTGCACTGACACACACCTCAGAGCACATTGAACTTCAATGTAAAGTCGCAGCAAGTAAACGTTAAGGATGACATTTTCTGACTCCAACTAGGAAAAAAAACTACTTACATCGCCACAGGTGTGAGACGATGGCACATCATGACATTTTAAACACTCCTGCATGGCAATTAGGAACCTGACACGAGCACCTAGGACTGTTTACCAGACGTCAGTCACCTGCCCAATTCGGTACCGCATCAGAAGCATCGTTTCTGCCGAGTTGCATTCATCTTAAGGCCATGTTCATTTGATTATATGGATGACATCCGCGGGAATCAGCAGGAATTATGCATTTTTGCCCGTTTCCAAAAATAAAAAAGTTTTCGACCACGTAAATTTCATAATGGGTGCAACTTTTTTTGCCAATTTTTTATTCGCACACTCGCTTCAGTTCTGGGCTTCCCAAAGGATGTCATTCTTATAATCAAATCAACATGGCCTTAGCTTGAAGTGTTTTTGTGATACCTATAAGAGAATGTCCTGTACGGGAATGTCTGGCTCCAGTTGCAGAATGGTGAGCTTACAGAGTCCTCTGACGCGCGTTTGCTGTGGGTACAGCCCCCGTATGAAACTGTTAAGATGTACAAGCTGTGTAAGACTCCAGTCCGCTGGCTTCTATTGTTCCTGTAGGGATAAAACAAGAGGCAAACTTGCATGATATTTTCCCTGGCAACAGTTTTAATCAAGTTGGTATTAAAATACCAGTTGGTATTAAAAACCAACTTGATTAGAAAATAATAAATCTTCACCATTGGGGGTGATAACCGACAGTTCATTAACTTTATGTATTGAAGTTCAAATACAAAAATCGTTAAAACAACTTTTCAGTAGAGACCCTTCCATGAACAGTTAGCTCTCTATCATTAAAGCAATTGCCTACTGCGTTTCCAGCACAGGCCATCGCCGCAGCAAATCAAATCCAACACTTCTACAAATCAGTGATAACATCGACTTTTACTCTGAGGCTTTTTCCAGCTGTCCTGATCGTGTCATTTTGATTTATAGCCACCACCAAAGCTCGTATACTGATGATGACTTATTGAAGGGTTTTAGAAATACTATTGATTTCACAATGTGCGTAAACGTCGTCCGTAAGATAGCCGTGAACGTTAAAGCCGTTACAGTTTAGAGAGGCAAAACTGGATTTTTAAAGTCAATTTTACGGTCATTCTTTGAATTGAGTAAGATGAAGCAATCTTACTGAAGAAGCATACTGATATCTTTGAGGCAAAATTCCGATGCCGCTGGTGGAAAATGGTTGCTTGTTTTGAACCATTGACTGCTTCTAGCTACAGTATGTATGGGAAGTGCCAAAAATATAAAGAGACCCCTCATGTGACTTGTTTTGGGGTTGTTTCAAACACTTCAAGTATGGAATGATGGCGAAACTATGCCAAGAAATGGCAGTAAATGTCGATATTAGGCAGATTTCTGCAACGAGCATAGTTTTAATTTTGCCGCACTGAAATTGTATTGAATGCCTTTAAGGTTTGTTGAAGGACTGCTTGTAGCGTAATGTAGTCACTTTACTTTACTTTACTTTATTCATCAAAAACAACATTGCAGGCTGAAACAGTCTGAATTTTGTTGTAAATTACATGTACATCCACATTTACAATTGTAACATTTTAGCGTTAAAAGATTAAGTGTTAAAAGAAGTATATCCGATAATGACGTAAGTATAAAATATCGATAACACATTAAAATATAGACAAAAATTGAGTGAAACAACTTTAAGATACAAATACAAGGCGGCAATAAGATTTTAGTTAGGCACTGTCTGGGTGACAAAACTCCTAAAAGTCCCCCAGCACCGCTTCCATATGCAGAGGCTTTATAGCTCAAGTCCCTCTATTGATGGAAGATCATAGGGTCAACGGCCTGAGTATTTCGGCAAACAATTTGTGGACTATTTGACAGTGGGGGTCACCTTGTCATCGTTATGAAAATCGATCAGTCGTGTTAGCGATCCCACAAGGAATAATCTCATTAAATCTTTCATTTCTGTGTTTTATCTATAATGATGAAAAACGGCCGTATCTAGCTAGCGCTGCCGTAAAGAGTGTTCGGCAAAGTCAAGGTTAGGTCCTGGTAACGTCAAGATATTCAGGCAGAAATGAAGATTGAACATCGTCACTGTTTTCATTTACTGTATTTATCTTATCATCTAACCTTTCGCAACAACCCTATCACACTTGTGAGAGAGAGGATCAGTTCTCTTTCAGGCATTGTAGGTCAGAATATCTTTTAGGAAGTCGTCAGCATCTAAAGTGGAAAGGGTCTATGAGGCAATTGTAAGTTCCAAGTGAACCCAACTAGCGTCTCAGACGGTCTGTTATGTTCCACTTGCGATCAAAGGATTAAAAGTTTCAACCTCTCTTGTCGAGTAACTTTGGTACAGCAAAGATGAACAGGTTGTGTATATATACCTGCTTTCCCCTCTGGTCTCTCAGTCACTGACGAAAGCT